GGATGACAGGCCCTACTTTTTATATTACCCCTTATATTCTTAGTACTTACCCAGGTTTATTTGATAGTTCCTTAGGCTTAATCATTTTGCTAAAATTTCTTTCAACTTTTCAAGCCTTATATGCTGCTTTTACTACACAGTTACTGAAAATGGGATACCAGATCACCTCCAGTAAACAGAGAAGGTATTCAGAAAAGGTGAACAACAAAATAAGTTTTAATATTTTGTAAGGTATAGCACAATCATTTTCTTAATATAATGATTCTTGGGGCATTCTATGCCTTACCCAGGGAGGCCATATTGGGCATATTGACATACTGACCCCTAGAGTAGAATGCTATCACACTGAACATTGAATAATAAGTGATATTATTGTAGCTGCTATTCATTCAAAGTCATTTCAAAGTCTGCAACTTTTTCATTGTAATTTTATTTGATGTAGAAGTACATCAGAGAGGATTTACATAGAACCATGAGCTATGCAACAATTTCACACAATTCCATGCAGGGAACTACAAGATCAAGAAAAAAGGAGGATGAGCAGTCCATGCTCAAAAGATATACATACATATATAATGAACAGAATTATCCTGGCTGTATTCACACAGTACACTAGGAGGGGAAGTGTACATCCATTACAGCCTAAATGGAGAAAAGCGTATTTTGCCTGAGTACATATCAGTCCCTCTGTTTAGGTGCATAAAATTTCCTTATGAGTTTGGGAGATGCTTGGGAAGGGTAGCTGAGTGTGATAGCTTCTGCAACACAAGACTATTTTGCGCATATTGCTTTTGCTATCTGCACTTTTGTTGTGTTATATTCAAGTGATGAAAGTATATATTATGGAATTTTATCTCACATTTCCGAGCACAAACTGAAGTGGAACAGAAGAAATCCCACTCACTAGTTAATGAGAATGTCAGAACAAGGGTAGAATTGCTTTGAGGGAAGGAGCACAGCTTGGTGGAGAGAACGTGTGCTTTGTATGCAGAAAATTGTAGATCTCTGACATCTCCAGAAACATCTTGGAAGGACTTCCCATATAAAATCCAGGACAACTTCTGCTAGTAAATATAGAAACTATTGGGCTAGATGGATCAGCAGTTTGATCAAGTATAAACCGCTTCCTGATACCTGCATCTAAATGGGCCTCAGTAGCAAGCAAGCAATGTAAACAGCATGGGTGAAGGGATAGATCTTGGAAGCTGAGAATTCCTGGGAATGGTATTAATAGCACCTCCCTATAACACTGGTAGAACTTCCTGTGCACATTCTATCTCTTTTACTGATATACACAAATTTAGCAATTTCTTACTATCCAGCATTTGCTGATTTTGCTGAATGTACAAAATGTTTCTACTAGAAAATATTCTTTTTGGATTGATACCCTAAGATGCAAATGCTCGTTCTGTTATTATAATTCTGACCTGGCCCATGCTTCACTCATAGGTGCAGACATCAGCTGAACAGACAGTCAACTTGCCATAGCAGTAATAAATAAAATATAAATTATTTTATTTAGATTAGTAATCTTTAATTGAATGGCATTTACCTGTTAATTCAGATGGAGGAGAGGCTTGGTTGTTTCTTTCAGAAATAGGATGCCACAGGTTAACAGGGCTATTCAATAATTCTAAAGGGTAAACTGCTTGCATTTTACACTAAGATTAACACATCTAAGGGAGCTATCCATTAAAAAAACCCCAATATCTGGCAGAGTCCTACAGAGAGTGCCAAATGGGCAGTTTTTAATTGGCAGTTTTTGTGCTAGATGACCATTTATCAAGGTAAATCGTCAGGAATTGGTTTTGGCTAGGCAATATCCCAGCAAACACGTGGGGGCGGGGGGTGGACACGACAACATGTTTAGAGGGGAAGAGCTCATAGTAGATGACTAGAGATATACTGAAGGAGAAAATGAGCTGAAATAATAAGCAACATTATCTGCCCGACAAAATGAGGAACAGGAAGAAGCAGATGCGGTAGTAGATACAGGATTGGAATATTTTTTTGGAAGTGTGCCAAAAAGTTACACTTGAAACTGTCCATGTTTTGGGTTCTGTGAAATAGTCTTTTACAGTCCTTGGCCAACACTCTGCAAAACTGTGCAGAGAATATTCATACATAATACTCTTTCCTCCTATGGCTCATTTTCTATAAAGGGCTAAATCTGCAGGTTGCCAGCAATGTGAAACCAACCTGATGACATCCTCACTGGAGAAACAATGCAGCCTTCTATTATGAATACTGGAGCCATAGGGGAGCCCCATATGAATTGGACACTGACTGTATGCACAAGGTATTTGCAGCATTCACAAATAAATGCGGCTTTGTCTCCCTATGTTTTCATCCTGCGCTGGAGATGAAGCTGGACTAATGAGTCATCACCTGAAATAACAATTTCACAGTTGGAATTCAGATCAATGGCTTTCGCGACAGCACAAAGGCAAATTCAGGATCCTGCTTGTAGTTTCTGAACCATCTTGGCTCTAGAGAGGAAACTGGAGACGTTGCTGCACCCCCCATCTCATTGTACTTAATTTGTTTTTATTAACTGTGTGAGCAGCAGAAATTAAACAGGTACAATCTTCTCCAGCATATACATACATACAGGTTAATTTTTTCCATTTTATGTAAAAAATAAAGACCTAACAGGCTACTTTGGAAAAAAAAAAAAGGCATAGCCCAGCTAGAACCTTTACTATTGCCCACAACTCCTGTTTTGATACAGGTGCTTTTATGTGGGAGTCAGTCTGAAATAAACTGTATTTACAATAAATTTGAAACTGTCACATAAGAAGCAAAGCGAGTGCCAAGCTTTTGCATACTAGCACTTATGAGTTCACGGATGACTCTTGGCTTATTCAATTAACCTTGGTGAAACAAAAAATAAAGCAAGGAGAAGCCTGGCTTATGAATTTGGTGTGTGCCTGCTTAGCATGAAATGGGGAAATCAAATGCATCTAACCTAGACAGGAGGGATTATTCAAATCAAGCCAGCCAGATGCAAAGCTGGAGAACTACATTCCTTCCAATTTGCCACAGCAAGGAGACTAGACAGCTCTATCTCCTGCCTATAGGATCTTCCAGCCTATATTCATTCACTGTGCTAAGTTTACAATTCTATACTAAACCATGGTTTAATCAACCCATTGTTGTTTGGTCTTACACATAAAGTGAAGTCTTGTGACATACTTTGTGTGGCTTCAAACAATTTATTAAACTATAAGCTAAACAAACTATTTTATGGTTTACAGGGGAAGAAATGGGCAGCATGGACTAAATGTATTTCCTGCTACACTGGAAGATGTTATATGACTGTTTGCTTAGTCTTCTTTGGATAGCCTATATCAGGGGTATCAAATTCATGGCCCAGAGGCCGGATGCAGCCCACGGGGTGCTTAGATCTGGACCGCGGGGCCACTTTGGAAACAGCAAAGGACCGGCCCATGGTACCTCTGCCAGCAAATACAGAGCTCGGGAGGGCTGCGGACAGCCCTCCTGAGCTCCATTTTCACTGGCAGAGGGTTGCAGGAAGCCGTCACAGCGAAAACGGAGCTCGGATGTCCGTTTTTGCTGGCAGAGTGCTTGGGCCACCACAGGTGCCCGACACGAGTGATGTTGAGCTGGTCATGCCCCCCTGGCCACGCCCCCCTGCCCCCCCAAGTAAAACACAACCCTGATGTGGCCCTCAATGAAATTGAGTTTGACACCCTTGACCTATATGAACAATCCAAAGCTATACTTATAAAAATGACATCTTTTTTTTATTATTACAGGATCACTAAGCTGTGTTTTGTTTAACTATGGATTACTAAATAGTAGGGGACACAGAATGCACAAAGCCACAACATTATGGTTAAGTATATAAGAGGTTTCAAGCTTAGTTTTAAATTAAAATTGAATCTGTTTGCCAGCACTTTAGCCAAGAAATGGATGGTGAGTGAGTGGACTCTGTAGATACTTTTGTTTCTAATATGATTTTGCATATAGTAACTCATACTATTACTTGATTAATAAGGGGGAAAGTAGTGTCCATTAAAACAGTATGTTTGTTAAACATAAATGGGATTTACACATTATATTTTATCTATTTTATCTTTAAAATGGCAGGCAGCATTTTAAGGAGACATAGAAGCATACTGAATTTTGTTAAACCGATTGAAAATAAATGTTTCAATGTCAGCACAAGCCTATTGGGTACAGACAGATTTTTCTCATTGTATCCAAAATCTGCTAAAGCATGTTAAAAGTTGAGAAATGCTGAAATTTGTAGTTCATTAACATCTGGTGGGTTATAGTTCCATTTTTCTGTTCACCCATAGTTTGTTTTATTGAATAAACCACATCTTCTTATTGCACTAAGCTGTAAACCATGATGTGTAGTCCACAATGGCTTCATATAATAAATTGTTAAATTCAAATTACATCGTGACTTATAGCTGTGCATGAATCCAATTGTTGTGGCTTCTTAGGAACTGTCATTGAATCTAAAGATAGTTTGAAATTCATACTTGTGGCTTACTTTCAATAAAACCAGATCGGGAAGGGGGTTTAGTTTATTTACATTACTGATGAAAAACATGATAACTAGCTACCATAGTAGTGCATTGTATATGGAGGCAGAATGCACAGATTAATCACTACTATTAAGAATTGCTCTTGAGTGTTACAGAGCTAATACAAAATGTTACTAAGTCTTGCACTGTTTACTATAAGTGAACCTACCTAGAGAATTGATGATACAGTGTTTGACCATGGACTTAAGGTTAATTAAAGAAATTAACTGTATATTAAACAAATTCAAAAATAAGATTACTTGAAATTGGTAACAGAAATCATCTATCTCTTTTTACCATTTTCATTTAAATTTTTTGCAGGAGAAGCAGATAATCAATTTTACACAAATTATCAGTTTTCTTAATAGGGCTTTCCTTTCCTCTCTCTTCTCTGGACAACTATGCTTCCCTAAATCTTGTCTGGAAGGTCATCCAAGAAGATGCAAGAAGAGAAGGAATCTGTTTGGCCAGCACAATTTGTTCCTCAAATGGGTGGATATAATTGGATGTATCCCTTACTTTGATTAAACCACAGTAAGTCCATTAAATATAGTGTCATATAAGCAACATAGTCTTTAAGGTAGCTACCTGGTTGTGCTCTAGGACTTAATACATCAATCTTTGAGCTGGCAGAAAAATACTCTAGCATGAAAGATGTTGTTCCGACAGCCAAGCCCTACACTTCCTCATTAATGAGACTGGTGTAGTGCTTACTTTAGAGAGCCAATGTGAGAGTAGTTAACAAAAGGAATTGGTGGATTCTCCTGGCTTTGTTTCTTCTTTCATCAAATATCCACTGGTGTGAAAAACATCAACAATTGCTTTCTTAAATAGGTGGGGAGGTGGGGTTGGGTGACTGCACCCAAGGGTTTAGTTACCTGGTATGTTGTTTAACTACTGTAATAGACTACTGACATGAAGATGTGATGAGCTGGGACCTCTCACCAGCAATATTTCAAAAGAGGACTAAATTTGTGTCCCAAAAAAGCGGAAGTGCATGAATAAAGCAGGACAGAGGTCTCCCGATTGGACTTTTTCTAAGGAAGGCTGATTGATGTTCAGGAAAACCTTTAGTGACAGACCGTAGACCTTAAGGGGAGGTTGTGAAAAGCATCTACATCTTTTTTTCTCTTCACTCTCCCAGTGAGATGGCACTTCCATTGAGAAGCACAGAACAAGGATATGGAGTAATGAGTGAGCTCCCTTTTCTACTAATGATGCAAGGGAATTGCTGGTAGCAAATAGCCAAACCAGCAACACCCTGTGGAGTATTCAAAATGGTGCCCCCCTCATGATAAAACAACAAGAACAACCTTGCAAAATCCCTTGTTGGCTGAATCTCTGGAAAATCTGCAATGCAGTAACTGGTGATAGAATCAGCAACACAGCTGGTAGAACCTGGCTCTCTTTTCTGGTCTAACTCAACCTTCTCTGCAGCACATTAAAGAGCAGGGCTAGTATTCTTTTATAAGAGTGTTAAATTCATGTACAGTATTCATTATATACACTTTGGAAAACATCAGTCAGACATTGCACGACCCGATGCTCCTGTAGAAGTCTTATGTCTGGTCTTTTCTGCAGCTCAAGGGGTAAGTGTCCATGGAGGGCAGTTCCCAGAACTGGAGCGGAGGCAACATCTGTAGAGCAATCTAAATTAGCAGATCTTAGCCCTGCATCTGAAGAAGGAAAACACTTCCATGCTGGAACAACTACAAATAATTCCCTTATTTGTAGGCTAGGGATGTGGCGAAAAAAACATCACAAAGCAATGACATTCAAGAATATTTACCATGGAATGGGCATGCCTTGATTAGGGGGAAATGAGCGCTTAATATGCTTGCTTTTCATTCTTAAATCTCACCATTTAAGGTATATTTACAACTCAGGTTTATTTGCTTAAACCAGCTTATTTTCCCATAATAAAAATGCTGATTACAGCATTAGTATATGGTCTATCATAATTCTAACCCTCTTCACAAAACAAAGGTTTTCCAAATTCCCTCAGATGGGAATCACTAGTAAACCAGTTTATATTTGTGAAAATCTGCTTCACTGGCTCTCACTTTGTTCAATATTATATTTTCATCTATAGTAAAATCACAAGAATTGTCTGTAATTCTTTGAAATGTCTAATATCTAAAATCCACATCCTTTTTGCTTTCTCATTATACTTAACTAACATCTGGCTACAACCAAATCTCAAGGGGACACAAAATTCCTGCTGTGCTATTTTTTTTACTTGGCAAAGCTTTAGTCTGCAACTTCTGACAGAAATAGTTTCTGAAGAAATTCTCCTTATTTGTTTTCTACTGTACATTCGTTAAAATGAACCAAAACCAAACAGCAAATCAACGGCAGAAGAAAAGTATATTTAAGAAAAGAGTACAAGTTGTACTTGCGTCATGGATATTTTGATCATATTGGTTAAGAACCAAAATTGAAAACAAGCAAAACATAAAAAGAGATGAAGATATTTGGAAGCAAAGTTGCTTACAAACAGGTAAGCAGAGCAGAAAGGAGTATGGAAAAAAGAACAGAAGAAGGCAGAATTATGAATACTAGTCAATGAGGTATTTTCTGATCCAGTAATAATAAATAGTACATACTCTATAGAATTGTGCCTCTCTAAGATGGATCCCATAGATGAAACTCCATAAGTAGGATTCAAAAATTCCTGAGACTAAATTTCCAAATGTAAAAGCAAATCTTATCCATTATTTCTTCTACATTGTACCTCTTTCACAACCTTCATGGTGCTGTCAGACATCTGAATGGATCCCAGTTGCAACCTTTCCAAAACCATAGGTATCGTAACTGCAATACAGGATGTCTATGAAAAATACAGTTATACTGTCATAGAAGCCAAAGTCTCCACCAGATTTCCTAGTTCAGACAAGCTCTAAATAAAATCAAATGACTTCATTTAGAAAAACCTCCATTAACAGAAAACATACTGTATGTCCTCCTTATTTAAGCGGTTAAGTAAATAAATGGATTTGTGCCATTTACTCTTTAGAGACTTCTAACTCAGAGATGACATTCTTTTGTCCTGGCTGAATGTAAAAGAAACTTCCATGCAACAATGAGAATCGGTGAGTATAATTTTCTTCATCTGAATTTAAAAGTATTTAAAGGAGTCAGAGTTTTTAAGCTAGAATTACCAATTCAAAATCCTGAAAAGCTACCACTTGTAGAAGAAGCTTATATTAACTGTGGTTTTTTGATTAACATTTTCCTTCTGGTGTTATAATAAACATGTGTGTCCATTTGTTAGCAATTTATCTTTTTTGAAGAATGGTATTGTTGCAAGTGAATCAAACCTTTCTCTATTTTCATGTCTTAGCTTCTCTTGAAAAAAAATCTGGTGATCACATAGATTGGCAATTGTGATCTAAATAGTTTTTCATAACCTGGCAGTTTTTTGTTATATAGAAAACATCATGTATATTGGAATCTAAAAAGAATAAAGAGGGACATGATGTTGGCTGTCAGGTTATACTATTACCTGATTGAACAATGTTAAAGAAGAACTAGAGAACATGAGGTATTTATTTCCTAACTAAAATATGCCATTTTAGTCTTTTGCATCTATGAACTATACACACTGCACTCTAATATGTGCTTATACAAAATTAAATCCTATTGATTGCTTTTTGCTTTTTTAATTTATATGCCGTCCTTCTCTGGAGACTCAGGGCGGCTTACAATGCGTTAAGCAATAGCCTTCATACTTTTGTATATTTATACAAAGTCAGTTTATTGCCCCCACAATCTGGGTCCTCATTTCACCTACCTTTGAAAGGATGGAAGGTTGAGTCAACCTTGAGCCTGGTGAGATTTGAACTTGCAGTAATTGCAAGCAGCAGATGTTAATAACAGTGCTTAGTCCACTGTACTACAGACTCTGGGACTTAATCCCAAAAATGTATATAGGATTGCTGGTTGGGTAGTTTTCTGTTGCAAAAGTATGGGATGAAAATTAACTAATTAGTTTGACTTCTGAGTTTGCTTACATTTTATTATAATATCAGTGGCATATAAATGCCTACCCTAGAATTTAATGCATACAGTTCTGCATTAAATTCTGATCATATATTCAGGCTTTTATAGACATCTAGTATTTTCAGTTACTTAAATCAGCCCCATAATGAGATAAAATTTAAAAGGAACCCTATCTTAACTGAAACTTCTATAGAAAAGCTTTAAAATATGTGTATAAAATATTTCTGAAGTTGTAGTAACCCTATACTGTATGTGAAAAGAAAATTTAAAAACATTAACTGGATAATGGAATTGGTTTCAAACCTGAAGGTATCCCTAAATTCGTGGAGGTTATCAACATACTCATACATTTAATACAACCTGAGTTTTCCTTTTCCTTCCAAAGGATGTTCTCACTTTTAATCTTTATTTTTCCTCTAATGAATCTGGCTTCTTTGTGGCAAAATTTTTTGTATGTTCCTGTGCCTCTGAAAGGGAACAGCTAACCAATTTCCACTTTATTTTAAAACTAAAACTTATGCCTGGAACTAGCAAGGAGCCTTCTTGTTTTAGAGTTGGAGAAAAATAACATTTCTCTTCCGTTCCCTTTTCATCTCCCCCTGTGTTTTCTAAACTTTGAAAAATAAATAGCATGTCTTATCAAGTTTGGTGACCCAAACAGTAGTAAAACAAAATAACACTTATCTGCTGACAGAATTTCTTAAAAATAAATAAGCTAAATTTGGTTCCTTGCCAAATTTGATGCTTTAACAGTTATTAAAGTTATTTTTTTGGAGGGGGGTTTCTAAAGAATTTAAATAAGATGAAAATTCTCCTTCATTCCATCTGGAAGGCAATGTCAGACATGATGTTTCCATGTCTGCTTGTTTGCTTTCTGACAGGACTGTATAATTCAAGGCTGCCCAGAACAACTCTCTTTAGAAGAGTCTCAGATTTTACCACAGGCCAACCAGAGCACTGAGAGCTTCCTCTTCTTGGGCTGTGGTATTATGGAGGGCAAAAATCCTTCTGAATCTTCAGTGTCAATGCTATCCCGGCCAATAATATTTAGAAAAAGTGGCTATGTTTCATGGATATATGTACCCACACTGCTATTTCAGTTTGACTGCCGAATGTCAACCCTGTTATTTTCTACTAAGAGTTCATAATGCTGCCTCCAGACTGATGTTTCCAAAGCAGATTCAGAAGCCAGGAATCTGGAGGGATAAAGATTTTTTTCCTGCAGACCTTCGCTGGGTGATTGCCACTGGAATGGAGAACTGCTGCTTCTGAAGGTTGTTCTTTGCTTGATTGAAAATTAATCTCGAGTTCGGTTTCTTCTCCTCAGGAAGAAAAAGCTGCTCTTTTGGGGAGGTCCTAACAACACTGGCACTTGGCTTTTGTGGGTTATTTTAATCTGGAAGCAAAAGGATAGAAGCCAAAGTCACAAAAGTATGGAAATAAAAAGAGCTTTGGAGATAATTTGGAATAGGAAAATCCTGTGTTTCATACAAAATTACAATGCAGGAAGCAACAATAACTCTGATAGATGCTTGTCCATCTTATCTCAAACATCTCTAGCAAAGGAAAGCCAATATGTTCTAAGGCAGCCTATTCCACTTCACACATTTATTTTTAGATTCTCCTCCTATTTAGCTGAAATCTGCATCCCTTTAATTTTGACTCATTGCGTTGTCTTGCAATCTGGAAAGCTTCTTCACCCGTTTCTCAATTCTTCAAATGTTTAAAAATGGCATCAAATGTCTCCTTATATTTTCTTCAGGATCCAACTGTTTCAACCAGTTTTCATAATATAATGATTAGATGATTGCTTTTTCTAAACAGAAACTATTTCAAGGGACTGTGGAAAGGGCAGGGATTTTCTATTAACAGAGATAAGCATTAACATTTCCCCATTGTCAATGTCTATTTATGCTAGTTTATTGCTGCTACAAGGACTGGCTCCAACAGAGGACAAGCTGTTTGGAAGAGCTAAATGAAAATAATTATTTCACACATCTCATTTATTTGCAGAGGGAGGAAGTGGTATCTGCTGAATCTACTGTTCTACTATTTAGAGCATGTAGCCTTGCTTTTATATGATATCATTTTGCTGCAGAGTCCCCCAATCTGATGACCCCAGAATATTGCAATAGGACTTTTATAATCTCTATTCAGATGGCAATGTAACATTTCCCTAGAGTACATGAAGCAATTGTTTTGCAGCTAGCGGGAATATCCATCTTTTCCTACAGTCACCTAAACACGGCATAAAACCTGCCAGGTGTCCTGCTCTTCCTGAACTAAAGGCCTTTTTTCCATGACCAAAGAAAACCAGTACCAAGCAGGATCTGGCTCACAAACACCCCCACTCCTATTGCTTCAGGGAAAGACAGAACAAGTCTGTTTAGTTCTCTATGGCAAATAAAAAAAAAGTTTCTTATCAGGCTGAATTGGAGATAGCACTGGGACTATTCAGCCATTAAGTCTTATGAGTGGTTGGGGAGGCAGCAGAACAGGTCACCTTCTCCACCACAGCCCAAGATGAGTAACAGGCTCTCCAGAAAGGCACATCCAGCATATCTTGTCTGGCCAGTCAATTGTCATAAGGTGAGATCCTCAAAGCAATGAGAATGTTGGGAAGTAGCATATGATTCAGAAACAGAAATCCAAATCTTAGATATCTTCAGATTATTGGCACAATTGGCTTTAGGAAAATGTTTGCCTAAATGACTGAAATGTAATTGGATCATTAATTCCTGGAACTGGCCAGCTGTTAATTCTGCCACAGAAACAAAAAAGCCCATCTGCATGGTGAATGAAAATCAATATTTCAAGAACTTCATTTTTTTTTACTACTAGTAACTAATGTATATAGGTAGTCCTTCTTTAACAACCACTCATTCAGTTACTATTTAAACTTGGGATGATCTCAATGAAGGGGACATATTATGACGAGTCATCTTAGTTGTGGTCATTGCAATGTGCCTGCAGTTCATTTGATTGTGATTTGGGTGCATTGCAACAAACTCACAATTATGAAATTTGTAATCTCTCCTGCCATCTTCCCATGAGCGAAATCAAAGAGCAGTGGAATTTTTGCTGCCTATAGAAGAACATATACTGTATGTGGCTCAAAGTTGACCTGTGGAGAAGTCAATGGGGAAGCCTGCGGCAGGAAGTCAGATGTCATGGTCGTGTGAGATTCTTACTTAGTGATTGCATCCAGAGATGGCTGGAACTGCTATTACTAGGCTGTATGATCAGATGATGTCAAACTTTGATTGCATTGCTTAGCGATGGAAATTCTGATCCAATTACCATCATTAAGTGAGGACTACTTTGTATACACAGGAATTCAAAGAGCTGTTCTTTTCAGTTGGAATACTTCTCTGCAAGATATTGTTCTATAATACTCATTTGCATATCAGAGAAGGCAATTTATGTCACATATTGTTTTTCTCAGAGTCAGTTTGGTGTAATGATTAATGCATCAGGCTAGAAACTGGGAGACTATGAGTTCTAATTCCTTCTTAGGCCCAAAGCCAGCTGGGTGACCCTCAATTCTAGGAACCAGGCAATGACAAACCTGCCAAGAAAACTGAGACTGGTTCAGGCAGTTGCCAGGAGTCAACACTGACTTGAGGGCATACACACACTCTCACACACATTATTCTTGTGTCTAACACAACTTCCTTTGATGTTCTGAATACACTGGATAGGTTGAAGGTACACTAATTGTATTTTTACTATCTTTAGAATACTACCAAGAGGAACAACATCCATAGATTTCTCTCCCTTTAACTTTTATTTTATTTTCCTTTACGATACAAATGTGACTGTTACGGTTATGAAAAAGCCTGATAATATGACATCAAAGAGATCTGAATAATCTTCTCCAAACAGTGACTTCTTTCCTGGTATACTATGGCTGTTTTTTCCATTTTGAATAGAAGCATTATTTTTAAAATAGTTCTTTCCTAGGTTTTGTTACTTAAAACTGGGTCTCTTCTGCAGCTTATTTTCCAAGGAAAAACTTCTCCTAGCTTCTTGCTTTAGTAAATGAAGCCCTTTAATACCATTCAGACTTTTCTGTGTTTCAACTACTCACTGTACAAGGTGGTTGCATCCAAGGCTCTCCATCCACTTGCATGGGCAATAGTTTGGTTGTTCTGCAATACACAAACAGTCTTGTAAGAAGGAAAACAAGCCAGAAGTCTGTCTTGCTCTAAGCTGCCAATAATGGAAAAGAGTGAAAGAATGAAATATACAAGATGATGCTATCTGGCTGTAGTCACTGAATCATCACCTAATGTTAAGTATATGAATGATAAATGAACCATAAATTAATAGGATGGTTCCAATACTATGATAAAATTGACTGGCTAATTTGTAGATCAGTGTGTTGTATCACTAACAGGTTCTTGTTAGTGTGGTTAGGATTTCTAGGAACCACAATAGCAATAGCATAGGAGCATAAGAAAGCACACTCAATTTACTTGCATCAACCCCACACCTGTATCATTCTTTGCTTAACACATCTATCTTATGAGCAATTGTAAATAGAGGCAACTGTGTTTTATCCAATATACTCTTGAGGTATATTGAATTTGGCTCTATAAAAACTACATCCTTTTCCTATTTCTTAATGTAAGAGCAGGCACCTTATTCTCCTTTGTAATGGGTCAAAAATCCCCGTGTTTTTTCATGGCTCCTCATCTCATTCTCTCATCTCCTTTTCTCTCTTTCTAGAACATGCTGAAATTCTGGGAAAACATAATGCCTTCTAAGTAAAGTGCTTCATTGTGATCATCATTCTAGCCATTGTTTATCCACTGTAGGATGCTTCCAACCAGCTTTATTTTATAGACCTGATAAATTTTTCAGATCATAGCAAACCACAGAAAATGCAGATTTGGTCCTTATAGCAGTCTATTAGAATATTAGCACATAGAAGAAAGGGATATCAGGATGTGCCTGATTCTTTCTTGCCTGTTACTAGAATATCTTCCAAATTGGGTGAAAAATTCATATTAGAACCAAAGTCTCAAAGCAGGTACCTGATGGCAACAGAGGAACACTGGGCCAATCTCTTTCCAGCACTTTTCAGTCCAGTATAGATCTGTCCCATTTCCATTGCCCCTTCAAGGCCAACAACTTCCAAGAGCTGATCACTAAGATCTAATGAAAGATTGATAGATAAATATTATTAAACAAAGAAAAACTTGTGGCCCTTATATTTAATGCAAAGCTGAAAATTGCTTATACTGCTGCTCTTCATGTAGTGGCTATGGACATCAGGGAACTCATTTACAAGGTTCTGAAACCCTTTGATCATGTTTTAAATTAAAATTGTTTTAATTGAAAAGTTGATATGATATCTATCTATCTATCTATCTATCTATCTATCTATCTATCTATCTTTCATTTTCTATCATCTATCTAATCGTTGGAGATGGTAACAGTGTCAGAAAGACTAAAGGAGATGATATTTTGTATGCAAGTCTTGTCCATCTATTGTGTGTACATCTGCACTGTTGTGTTTCTATACCAGTGTACCTTCTGAAATAAGAATGTTCTTGTGATTGGTGGAGAAAATTTTATGATTTAGCTTGAGGGCTCACATCTACTTCAGTTTCTTGGCCAAGTCTCTGAACTTTACTGCATGGGCCTGCATTTTGGGAAAACGGGCATTTAACCCCACCAGGTTGGTATCCATTTCATGAATGGGCAAAACATCATTTGCTTGACTGCTTTTCTGTGCATATTTCAGTCAAATACTCTTTTATTTCCAAATGAATCCACTCTCCTGAAAGGACTGGAAACAAGAGTTTGCAGGCATGTTTGGAGCAGTTCTTTGTCAACCTCATCTTTTATTGGCAGGAGCTCCCAAATACACCAGGTCTACAAATACACCTACATTTGGAAAGTTATTACCAGCATGTAGAAGCTATACAGGTCAGTGATGGGATGGGATACTTCTTGTACCTACTTAAATGCTGTTCTGAGTTCCCTAGAAAAAAATAATAAGCAGCATGCTAAACTTGTCAATAGTCTGAATCAATAAAAGGTAGTTTTATTTATTCACCTTATAATGGAAGTCTTGGCTAACTCAGAAGCATTTTTTTTTTTTTTTGCTAGGGTTAAATTACTATGACCCTTCTCCGCATTTTGCTTTGAAATGAGTTGGCTACAGCTCTCAGTTCAATTTTTTCCCTACAAGGCTAAGTTACAGGCACGGTAAGGCAGCCCCATGACCTGTGATCCAGTGATCCCCTGCATGTTGCCTTTGGGTGCTTTTGATGCTCAAGTGAGCATGTTCCAAATATTTCATATGATTTCCTTTCCTTTCATTAAAATGACTGTATTGGGAAAAGAATCCCATTATGAGGGAAGCACAGTAAAAGTGACAATGCTTCAGAAGCAAAGCAACAGGGGCAATGCTTTTGCATTTGGCAGCACTTTTTGTGCAGATTCTACTCATTTTCAGAAAGATTTGTGCACTTGGTGCTTGTGTCATCCAAGAGTATTACCAAATGCACAGATGTTACCAATTTGTGGTTTTGAACACAAATGTCTTCCCTTAAAAAGGCACTATTTGGGTCAAGGATTAAACTTTTTTCAGCACTCGGAATGATGATGCAGCCAAGGATAAATAAATAGGCTTGCTTCATCTCTTTGGGTCCTTCATTTGGCAAACCTTCTTGTGCACAGGCATGGTTTCTGTTTGGTTGCCTTTGCTGTGCAAGGGGAAAAGTATAGCATGGATTAAAAATGAATGACAAACAAGAAAAAACAAATGTGAGAACAAAGCAAATTCGTTTTTGAAAAATAGCTATTTGGCCTATGCCAGGATGAATCGCAGTGCTAAAGTTTGAGTCATTTCTTCTGCAGCACCCCAAACCAGCATATTTAATTTCCTCAAACGAGGTCTTGCCTGCAAGATTTCAACACTAAATACTAATGGCCTCAAATTATTCTTTCTTCTACTCTGGGAAGATATTTGGAACAATAGATTTCATTTCTGAAGCATAGGCATAGTCTTTAAAGATTGCTCCCTTCCACATTTGTGTGTATGCCTCCAGTCCCTGAGTTATCGGAGAAACAAGCCAGCATAATATGTGTTGCCATGATAGCTGAGCTCTAATTTACATCAGCAAGAATGCTTGTCAGTGCTTCTTACATCCTTGCCATGAGACAAATTAAAGGCAAGATTTAGTAGATTTCTTTGGTGTTATTTCCACCACCTCTCAGCATCAGTAGATAGTCAGAAAAACAGCCCCCAACCATTCTCCTGAAAGTGTAATGGGGCAGGTTGGGCAGAGGCTTTAGCTGTATTCACGTTGTCTGAGTGACAGATCACTTGAGCTATTTCAGAACACAGGTCAACAGATTGCTGGTCTGGAGGAAGGAGCTTACACAGCACACTCAGGTCCCTTCTGCCTCATCCTGGCCCATCCTTAACTTGTCAGCTGGGTTATTTTTGGACAAAAGCTTGCCAGTCTTCTAGAAGTCTGGTAAGCTTATAGTAGAGAGATTTACCACCTTCCTGTCACTTGGGATAGAAAGGGAAACTAGCACAACTCTTATCAATTTCCCTCCAGCTTCCAAATTGGTAAGACCTATGGGGGAAAGTGAATGGACATAGCAGCATCCAGATCATCCAATGGAATATGCAAAATGGCAACAGCGCAAGACAATAATGTTGCCTCACTCCCAAAATAATAGAAGCAACAGAAAGCACAGCCATGCTAAATCCTTGTCAGAAGAAGCAGCAGAAAGCTTTAGCAAACTCCAGTAAAATCAGCAATATATACCTCTCCGTTTAAACAATTAGCAGATCCCATTTTTATTCATAGGCAGGCTTACTGATCTTTGTAAAACTTTTGAACAAATATTCAATAGTAGGATAGGTCTAGTGATCTACAAAATGGCTGATATATATCAGTGTACATAAGGAAGCTGTTATGTATGTAAGTTTTGGCAGGAGATTTGAAAGACAATGGGTCACTCGTGATTGGTCAGTTCCCTGGCCAACAAGGTATATAAAGGGAGCTGTATTGCTATAACCTTTGATGAAGTTCACACTATATTAAAGAGCTGTTGTCACGCACTACCTTGCTTCTGCCTCCTCAATCACCCAACCTAACAAGCCATGCTATGTTTTATGAAATGTGAATTAGGTATTACGGTACATGGGCAGATAGAACAGAACAGAACAGAACAGAACAGAACAGAACAGAACAGAACAGAACAGAACAGAACAGAATAACAGAGTTGGAAAGGACTTTAGAGGTCTTCTAGTCCAACCCCCTGCTTAGACAGGAACTCACTTCAGACAAATGGTTATCTACTCTTGTCTTAAAAACCTCCAGTGTTGGAACATTTATAACTTCTGGAGGCTAGTTGTTCCACTGATTAATTGTTCTAACTGTCAGGAAATTTCTCCTTAGTTCTAAGTTGCTTCTCTCCTTGATTAGTTTCCACCCATCGCTTCTTGTTCTACCCTCAGGTGCTTTGGAGAATAGCTTGACTCCTTCTTCTTTGTGGCAACCCCTGAGATATCGGAACACTGCTATCATGTCACCCCTAGGACCTTCTTTTCATAAGACTAGACATATCCAATTCCAGCAATTGTTCTTTATATGTTTTATGCTAAAGTCCTCTAATCATCTTTGTTGCTCTTCTCTGTACTCTTTCTAGAGTCTTAACATCTTTTTTACATTGTGGCGACCAAAATTGGATGCAGTATTCTAAGTGTGGCCTTACCAAAGCATTATAATGTGGTATTAACACATCAAGTGATCTTGATTCTATCCCTCTGTTTATGCTTCTACAGAAATCAGGGATTCCTGCAGCTGAAAGCAAGATGGCCAGGGAGGGTAGTGCCTTGACCAGAGATGAAGACATAAGCTTGTGGCAACCTTAATTGGACAATAGGAACTCTGAAGATGCCAACTTCTGACTGCATCATCACCAGATTTGTGAATGAGCCATTGCAGATTCTTCTTAAATCCGGATGTGTTGGGAAAAGGCAGAAAATACTACTACTTTAAAACTGGAATAGCTAAGGAACAATTTAGGGTGCCTCTATGGGTAGACTGGAGATAATCAAAAGCTGCATCAGAAAAACATATCCTTTAAAAATGATTTGTGAGATGTCTTTATACCGTGGGTGAATCTGAATCTGGAGTGTGTTTCCTATACAATTGTTTTCCTTTCCCAAAAGAAAAAATGAAATTGTGATTCAGATCTATTTTTATGTAAAATCCTATAAAACCCTGCTGTAACATGCTTATTTGGGGAACAACAAGATGTGTTGTTCTGAGGATTAGGTTAGTGATGGCTCATGTAAAATTGTACTGTTAAATCCTTCACCTAATTCGAGATTAGTTTTTAAATAATCCCTATTTGTATTGTCCTACAGAAGTAGCCACTGCAAAAAGTAATAATTGATAGTATTAAGAAACTGTTCCTCCCTATAAACCTTGTCCTGACATACCTGATTATTAATTTTCAAGCTGGTTAACCATTATCATCTCGCCATGTGTTATAAAGGTAACCTGTAAGCTGACATTGCTGCTATGCATGAACCCATTTGTCTCATTCCACAAGAAAACTAGTGAAGAGGAACAATTGTAGGCTGGGAACCTTGCAGAGTGGGGGTAGGGTAGATATGGTCCACAGATCAGATATTGGCAACTTCCTGCTTATTGATTATTGAAGCTGTAGTCTTTAGAAAGCTACCCATTGCAACTGAGGCAGCCATTAGTGAGAAGGTATTTCAAAATTGCCCTGCATTGTTCCCAATGAAAATCATGCCCAATGACTTTTTTTTTTTGAGGCTTGTGCTGTAAATGCCTACAGATTTGCTGCAGTATTCATCCCGCCTCAGGCCTCTCTACTTGGAGAGTCTCATGCATTAGTCAGAAGGGAATATTCTGGAAAGAGTGCTGTTTCACCACCCCAGCAGCTTTCTTTTTCCTGTTTGTGCTGTAGCCTGTAACGGCACTAAAGCATCCTCTTAATTAGTCATTCTGTTCTGCCTAAGTAACACCTGTTCTGCCAAGCTCTTTCCAATCCTCTCCATGGTCTCCCACGAGGATATTCTTAGAATTTTCTTATTTTCAGGCAAGTGCTCTCATCGGAAGAGCATTTCAGAAAAATCTCACAAGGTGATCCATGATTCTCCATGACAGAGAATGTACCTTTTGTTTCCAGTAGTTTGGTATTGCTGTGCCAACACTGTGATTAGCTGAAGGCCTTTAATATTTCATTACTTTGCAAGATCCATTTTCTGTAAAGCTGGCAAGGAGTTGGGGGAGGGAATGGCATTGAGGAGGATTAAATGGGCAACCTCTAATGAATCTTACATTAATGATAAACTTGAAAATAACTGCTGCCTGTAAAATACTCCTTTGGAATATATCATAAATTCCCGCTCTATCCCAAAATCAATGCATTCCCATTGAGGGTCTGGATTCTGGAGGGATTACCAAAAACGATATAGAATGTCAGAGATGAACCCAAGTCAAAGGGTAGTGTACCCTTCAACCCAGGCTCACTTGGAAAGGCTTGAATAGTTTGTAATACAGGTAATCTCCGGTTATGAGTGTTCCCTTAGCAAACGTTCGAAGTTACGTGATAAGCGCCTCCTAGCGTTTGCGAACAAGTTCTGAAACTGAGCATCTTGCAGCACCATGGCAGTTGTTCGCCTTTACGAACAACTGCAGAGGATCTGCAACATTTGTCTGGAACATTGCTGACCAAAATGGAGCTTCTGAGGGATGGCTCCGCCCCTCCGATGCTCCGTTTGAACCTCCAGAGACTTCGCCCGGCACATTGCAGACTGAAATGGAGCTTCTGAGGGACGGATCTGCCCCTCTGATGCTCTGTTCTGGCCTCCAGAGGCCTCGCCCAGCACGTTGTAGGCTGAAATGGAGCTTCTGGAGGACGGATCTGCCCCTCTGATGCTCCGTTTCGGCCTCCAGAGGCCTCGCCTGGCATGTTGCAGGCCGAAGTGGAGCTTCTAAGGGGTGGATCCGCCCCTCAGAAGCTCCGTTCTAGCCTCATGCTCCCCACAATTGCTTCCCCCCCCCACACCCAACCTGACACGCTGGGTCACTTACCTTGTGAAGATCTAGCAAGCAGTCTCCTCTCCAGCAAATCCACCCTCTGGAAGCTCCATTTTGGCCTGCAATGGGCCGGGGAAGGCCTGTGGAGGCCCGAATGGAGCATTGGAGGGGCAGATCCGTCCTTCAGGAGTTCCATTGCGGCCAGCAATGTGCCAGGCAAGACCTGCAGATGCCCAAATGGAGCGTTGGAGGGGCGCAGGCAGCTGAGAGATTGGTAAGGAGACTGCTTGCTAGATCTTCACAAGTTAAATGAGCTGGTGTGGCAGGTTGGGTGTGTGGGAAATAGTGGGGAGCATGAGGTATTTCAGGGGGCCGGGTGGTCTTAGGCAGGTGGCCTGTTCCATCACTAGCCCCCCCCATGGCCTGCCCCACCCTGAAATACCTCATGCGCGCTTAATGAGCCTCGCCTGCGATTAGCGAATGAGTGGGCGAAGGGATAGATTGATCCCATTAAAAGTATGCAATTCACTCCCACAAATCTTCGGGTTACAAATGGAATGCGTAAACTCCATTACATTCGTAACTCAAGGACTACCTGTAGAAGCAATGAACAAGCATCCTGAAGGAACATTTTGAGCAGGACAAGTAAAGTGAATTGAAAGAAGGTAACACACAGCAGCTTCTTCAGCAGAATTAAAATAAAAAAAATAAAAAGAAACTGGTTCTCATAGAGTTCTTACAACACAAGCTTTCGCCTACGGAGAAAACAGGTGCCCTTTGTCCTGGGAATTCTTTCTTACATGCGCAGCTGGAAGCTAGCAATGTTGTCTGCATTTAGAGATAATTTAGAATTGTGAATTAAATCCCTTTGGAAATTGTGTGTGAGAATGTCAATAGGCGAACTGGCTAACTGTCAGGGTGTGTCCTGCCTGGTTTCATGCCATCCCTTCAGCCTTTGCCTGCCTGACCCAACTCCTTTACCAGCTTTCCCGCAGCTTGGTACACCCCTCAGATGATTTGGGACATATCTCTCCAAATTCCCAGTCAGTCATTATGGTCAGCTTGTCTTTTTGAAAGATGTACTGTTTGCGGTTGGAAACTGAAATGCCAAAGTTTGAAATAGTAAGGAGGAAAACAAAGTTGGACTGACTGGCCTAAGAAACAGAAATAAAGCAGGAGAATGATTTATCACTTTCTTCTGATTCAGTAATTTTTTCAATGCTAACACATTTTTAAAATTTCAAAACACCTACATACACAGGCATCACCAGATGGGGCGCTCATAAATCAGTTTCACTATATTATTGGTACAACAAGGTGAAAGAGCTCAATTATAGTAGCAAAAACATGGACGGGGCCATGTAGAATAGATTGTGAGCTGCTCACAATCAAACTAAAGCAGCCAAAGCCAACAGATTTCCAAGATATGAACTTGAGCATGTATCCAATATTTTAAAGGACAAAACTGTGAAGGGGTATATAAGTCTAAGTGCTATTGCTATTTGATTTCTACCCTACCTTTAATTTAGGCATTCAAGACAGTATTTACTGCACTTTCTGCTCTTACAATTTCATACAAAACAGCCTGGTGGTAGTTTGGGCTGTGGTCCAAAGTCACCCCATGAGCTTGGGTAGAATATTTATCAAATCTGCAAATATTACAATGTCAGGCGGGATAGCTCATACCGTAAAGATTTTATAAATAACTTCAACAATTATTTTTATGTTAGAGAACTGTACCTAAAATAACAGAATGAAATTTAACAGGAACACATGCAGGATTTTTCACTTAGCAAGCAATCAGCTGCACATGTGTACCTGACTTGGCAAAAGCATTTGTGGAAAAGATTTTGGAACTGTAGCCGATCACAAATTGAATATGAGTCAGCAGTGTGATGTTGCTTTCAAAAAAGCCAAATGCAATTTTATGCTGGTTCAGCAGAAGTATTGTTTCCAAATCATAGGAAATCACTTAAATTCTTTTTGTCATATTCCATCTCAAGTATTGTAGCCAGTTCTAGATATTGTACTTTAGGAAAGATTTAATTAAACTACAACAAACCCAGAAAAGATCTCCAAGGAGGGGCAGAGATTTAAGAAAGATTGAAGGAATTGGGAATGTTTAACCTTGAAAAAAATGGGAGAAAACTGCTACATAGAAGAAGATCAGGTTCTGTTTTCTACCACTCCAGAGGATATTGTCCGCAATCATAAAAACAGATTCCAGACTGAATGTTTAGAAAAAAAGATCTTAACAGTTCAGCCAGTTATCCAGAAAATTGGATTCCTCTTCACCCAGTGTGTTCAAATGAAAGCTAAGCCATATCTGAGATATGCTTTAATTTGAGCATGTTCTGGTACTAAACAAGCAGTTGGAATGGCTTTTTTCAATTCTTAAATGACTATTGGCACACGAATCCTGGTTTTTGGTCTTCATTTTCACAGATGTAATAGGTTGTTATTTTTCATAAAACTGCATGCCCTTAAGAAACCTTATTTTTTGGTTCTTCCAACTTGTCAGGCATTGAACGCAGGAGATACTCTTTTTGTGTGGCCACTATAGATATACAGTATAGGGATGATGACTCCTAAATATCTGCAACTTCCTACGTGCTACTTTTACCACATTCAAAATTCTAAGCCACCTTACCTTGGACACAAAACTTGAGCTCCTTGGCATCAGTAACCACTGAGGATTGCAACTTTTCAGGTATTTTCTTGCTTATGCGGTTATAGCTGCGCTGTTTCTTGGTTTCCCCCCAGAGATTGGAGCCACCATACATGCTGGGAATGTTGAGGACGGCAATTCCTTCCAATGAAGTGCTAGTCAGATCCAAAACTGTTCCATCACACTGATACAGAGGGAGAAAAAGATAAGAGAGTGGTTTTATGAAATATATTTAGAATTATCTATTAAGCTGTATCATGAACTATTTAAATATTTCTATTCCACCTTTCTAAATATCCAATTGACTTCTAATTGTTATAAAACCAATGAAACAAAATTATTAAGATTCACATTCATTACAATAATATTAAACAATAAGCTGTGATGCTTATTGTTATCAGTTCAAAATTCAAGTGTAGATGGCTAGAACCCCTTTCAGCAGAGTCAGAAGGAGCAGTATTATCTAAACAATGTATTATTCACTTACTTACATACTTACGACCATTTTAACCAGAGTCTAAATGTACCACAAACATGCTGTTTAACAGGGGACATTTTTGAAGCAGAAACCTTGCAGTATATTTCTTGTTTCTCATGCACAAGTCTGGACAGTTCAGTAGATGTGAATGAAACATTTGATCTGTGAACAAGGGCCCTATACAACTAAATATTCTGAACATTTTAAAGTGTGGCCTAATCATTATCAGAAGTAATATGAATAAAGTCTAAGTAATCTAGTAAAGATTACTTTAAGCTTCAGTATAGTTGACCAGTCTTTCCCAATCTGGTGACCTCCTTGATGAAAAAATACCATCTAAACAGCCAAGATAGGTATATACATCCAAGACAATGCCTAATATATTCAAGATCAGATGCCTGTAGATCTTATTAATTTTGTGAGCGTTTCTCACCTATGAATATTGCTGTTTTGCATATTGTGTATTATTTTCTGACAATAAGCAGAGAATGAAGACTGTAAATAATGTGACCATTTTGCAAGCAGCTTTGGGTGGCAGAAACAAAAAGTTTACTAATAAGTCAGCTGAACACAGAAATAATAATTTATATCACATTTAAAAACTATCAAAGCTTCATATGTGAATCCATTTAGCTGTGTGGTTGTCCCCTCTCCCTCTAACTGAAACTAGAAATTATTGGAAACAAGGTGTAAATAGGATGGGTTTTTTTTGTAAAGAGCAATCTAAAGCAACATAATAACATGTTTGGCAAAAGCTATAATTGAAAAACAATTATTTTGGTCTGCACACAAGTCCTTTGATATTTATCTAAGGGTTGCAAGTGCTGTTCTTTGGTCTGTGTTCAGTTCTGCTTCGTTGTTTTGCTTGGGGACATTGCCAATGAGCCTCTCCTGTGCTGTCTGGGTAGCAAAATTCTGGCAGGCTGCAGAAGGTGATATGGACGCCATATATTCACCCAGCAAAGGAATGAGCATCTAATGGCCAGCAACTGTGTTTTCCTCTTTAACCCTGCTTTGTCTCTGTGCCAATGTGGTACAATGGCCTCTTTGAGAAGGGGCAGCTGATGGGTTGTTGGCAGGAAGACTGGAAGTAGACATTTGCAGCTGGGCAAAAAAAACAACTTTATTTCTAAGCGACTACAACCGTAACTGATGCCAATTTCCAAAACAAAACTGCCATTTCTCCTGTGCTCATGACAGATGCCTGGAGCCAAAAGGAGGGCAAACTGTTGCTTTCATCTTAAAATGCTGTTAGATTAACACTTTGCAGCCCTTGAACTACAATATCCTGAACATATTTGCAGAAAGATCCAGGACTGAGAAACTAAGTTATTTTTTTCACACAACAGTATTTTTCAGGAAATACTGGGAGAGGATACACTTAGGGGTTGTTGTTTTTTTGTATAACAGATGAATTGTTGTGCAATGTGGAATCTGTCAAAGGTTGAACAAATACAGCTAAAGTATTTTTCTCACTATTGGTGCTAAACCCAAAACAAATACAATAAAAGCAATAGTGGATCAGTGTAAAGCCTTTTGTGTTCAAATCATAAACTGAAGTCAAGTGTGGAACTAAGCTGTTTTGAACCCAAGGACTAATCATTTGCCTACTTAGTTTGTTTGAAATGTTTCTGGAAAAATGTGCTATCTGAATATCCCATGTCTGACTTCAGCCTCTCAGGCATGAATTCGCATGGGAAGGTTTTAGGAGTTGCACTGATTCACAGACTAAATACAATCTCAGCAATTGATGGCTAGGGGAAAATGCCAAATACCATTTTAAGTCTGCATCTATTTTATAGATGTACTAGGTGAACTGGACGTGGGAGGTAATGGTAGTGTTTGCTGAAATACCATACCAAACTAAACACAAACCTTCTCATATTTTAAGAATAGCTGGACAATGGAAAAAGTTCTTCAGAGATACCAAGAATGTCTTTCTTGCTGGTTCTTTTTTATTTAAACATCCTGTACTCAAAGGGATAGGCTAGACTAGTGCTGGAAGGAAGAAAGCTGGGGAGTGATGAATGAGCAAGGGATATAGCCAGCTAAAACATCTGAGACAGCTGAGGAGAAGTATATGTTATGTCATTTACTCTTTTTGACAGCAATCAACTGAAACTTATTCCTGATCTGGGTCTGGATGAGTTCCAATTTCCTCTAAAAAGCTTTTCTCTCCTTCCCTGGCTATTATTAGCCCCTTAAGGTGCTGGCTGCAATAAAATCAAAAGGCCATCGCTGTGCGTAACCTGAGAAAATAAGAGTAGATGTCTTAAACACGTACCAGCATCTACAGAGGCTAAAGGAAGAATCCTTTTGAACATAATGAGAGTCTATAAAGAATTTGAAATAATTATCCAGATCCATAAGCTTTGGTCATGAATGAAAGGAAAAAGAGCAGGTTGGAGTAGATAGGTGTTCTGACTTAGGCTTCCTGATATAGTAAAAAACACACAATTAGTTCCAAAACCCCCCTTTTTTATTTGAATGTCTGTGAATTCCTTTCATCACAGCACGTGCTGAATCACCAAGAGTTTATAACTAGTCCAGCAGAAGTCTGCCACAGTCCTTCGGATAAGACTGGTAAACACCCACCTTATCTTCTTTGACACGCTGCCAAAGACCTAATTGGCAATTATCTTGGCAAGGCCACACGGAAACAGAGACTCAAAAACGGAGCTTCAAAGTACAAACCGACACCATACACAATGTTGCTTCCTGCAAAGACCCACGTGTCTTATGGGAGGGGCCAATCATCTCCAAGCCTTACTCCTGAGTTGTCCCTTTTGTTTTAACTGTTCTTGCCTTCTGGCAGCTCTGGGCATGTGCACACTAGGAACAGGCTCCCCCTGTTCCTCTGCCTCTCTGATGTCTGACTCTAGAGGCTCCAGAGTCCGCACATAACTCCCAGATGGCCCTGGCCCCATCTCTGCCTCCAACACAGAGCCCTTGTCCGAGCCTTCCCCAGACTCCAGGACTGGCCCATATGCCTCCCCAGCCTCCTCACTGTCCGACTCTGCTGCCAGCTCCGCAGGCTGTTGGCGGACCACAACAATAGGATTATATCTCTTTCACTTACATTTTTGAAAGATACTGTGAAAATAGGAATGGGGAACAGAAAGAGATGCACGAAGAAACCAGCAATGAACTTTGGGTGGTATGTCCACTTGGCATCTTTTTGGTGTGGTCTGGAAATGCAATGTGTTTCTTAAAGATATCCATACCTAGGTCACGCTGGCATGCAAAACTATAGTCACAGCAAAGATAGTTGGACCAGGATCATTTACACAATTAGGAAGCAATTAGAGAAGCCAACTGAGGTCAGGATCTTCTAAAATGATTTCTTGGACAGCTGATGGGAACTGTCCCTGTGTCAGCCCTTGAATGAGGATGCTTGTCCTCACTTGTCATAAGAACTGAATGGAGGTGATCACAGCAGACTGAAGAAGCAGAGCAAGGCATGGGCTTTGACTGACAATTCTATTTTCTAGTTTTAGTGAATAATTAACAAACATTGCATTTATGTTTTCAGACTACAGGTACGGAAAGTATAGCTCTCAGTCCTTAAAAAGAGGATGGTTTGGATGAGGTTGATGAGTGGAAATGGTTATGGAAAATACACACCACATAAAATCTCAAGTACAAACTATGAAATGATTGACTTCTTAGTAACTGCTGGTGAACCACACATTTCCTAATTAGAGGCTGTTTCCATGTAGCTGGAAGGTGGTAGTAAGCAATCACAGAATTTACAAACATTCACAGCAAACTTAATTTTAGTTGAACCCTGAAGTGTACCTATAAGGGCATAATTCTGTTGTCCCAAAACTGGCTTCAAAGATGAAACACCCAGATGTACATGCCAACAAATATACTTAAAGGGAATCCATAAAACAGGAATATGCTGTATATTTAAAAAATACTGCTCCACATCTATGTTTTTTTTTCTTCCACTGAACTGTGTTTTGGACATCTGTTTCCAAACAGAAGCTTTCTCAACTATAAATGTACCTACTCTTTCCCTGCAAAACATCTTAAAATGTTTCAGTGGATGGAGATGTCACTAAAAGCTCAGCTGCAGCTGCCAGCTGTTTGTGGGGGAAAAAAACCTCTGTCAACAGGCTAACAATGTGGGAACCATGGGAGATATATTGTTAATTGGAAAGCATTCAGATGTGTGGAATCTAGAATCTTGTTCGATCATATCATTGTGGGTCAGAACTAAAAAATAAAGAGATGAGCATTGTGCTTGTGAAGGCTATGAAAGTGATAAACCTCAAAAAAAATAAATAATTGTCCCATCAGACAAGTCTTTTGGTGAAACTTTTTCCTGTTTCCATCCTGCACTTTGGATTCTGCTAATCACCGATTGGGAAAAATGGCCAGTGCCCCTTCATCTTCCTATTCTTCTCTCTCTTGTACACCCAGCAGTCCAGGGGCAATTAGGAGAGCACAGAGGCCCTTTCTCATCAAGTGGCAATCTTCAGTAGAACGGCAGATAGGATGGCTTTTTCTTTGCCTGCCTCCTCCTGCTACTCTTCCTCCTCTTCTTCCTCCTGCTCCTCCTCTCCCCACTACACTATTCTACTAAACAGTCAACTAAAAGTCAGTAAGTGAAATGTCCATAAATCTATATTGTGAATTTTCTATTATTTGTGATCCAAATTTTAAAATCACTGTTTCAGGTGAGGAGATACTGAAGGTTTTTTTTAAAATGGGGAGGGGGGGGGCAGAGATTCTTGTATTGGAATTTTATTTTCAAAAACAAAAACATTTCTTGAAAGAATGAAAAGGTCCCATAGATACTGTCTTGAAGGATGTGGCTGGGTTTAATAGCATCAGGGTAAACTGAGCAAAACACGTCTGGCTCCAGGGATAGTGCTATGTTGGATACGTAAAGACTAGACTAATGCTAGTTTTTTTGAGTCAATTATTTTCAATGAATATATTTTATACATGAGTAGACTTGCCAAGGTTTATGGCAACAATTATTGCCATAAACCTTGGCAAGTCTACTCATGAATAAAATATATTCATTGAACACCACTACTTGAGCTTTTGAATATGTATCTATTAAATTAAATCATTTTAATTTATTTTTAAAATTCTAACCTGTAAGCAGCACAGAGCTGTTACAGCCTAATTTTTTTGAGTAAAGTTTTAATGACTCCAGAGATGGAATGCAGTCTGATGTTAAAGAAGGAGGGAAAAATAAACCATAAATTTGCCAGAAATAATTTTCCAATAAACCATGGAAATTCTTACTTTACAAGCTTGACCCTGACTTTTCTAGAATCTTCAATAGTCTACAGTATGTTTAATGTTTTAATGAAATACAAGAACACGTTTCTAAGAAATCATTGATATAATCATAACACACCTTCTACAGAAAATTAAGACTTTGAGGTTTGGGGAGACTCACCTCAATCTCTACATAGTCATGAAGTTTCTTGCAAGTGGCTGAAAATGTTTCTGTTGTGCCGAATTCAAAATACCACAATTTATTCTTCATTCTGACAGAGAAAAACAAAAAAGGAAGAGCATTCTGGAGTGATACATTCACATGATACTTTATCTATACATGCTCCCTTACTAGCAGCCACAAAGTTTGCAGTCTAATATGAGCTAGCACAATATGACTGGGAAATGATAATGAGTAAAAAAAATTATCCTAGAAAATTAGGCAACTTATGGAATTGCATCACAACAGCACTAGGTGATGGAATATTTCAGTTCACCAATTATTTTTTACACTTTTCCCTTCTTTTCAATAAAATTTATTTACGAGAAAATTCCATCTGCAGTTACAAATTTAACAAAATGTAAAAATCTCCTATCTGACAATTAATCTAGATAAACCTTCAGTAAGAATGCACATATTTCCACAGACTCTAGCAGAAACTGGAAAAACAAAGAGGAAATGAATAAGAAATTTCCCTCTGTTCAATCAAAAGAGACAGTTGGTTTTATACCCCAAGAATTATTTAATCCCACCTGGCCAAGTGCTTTACTCTGATATCAAGGTATCATTAGGGATTCAAAAATTATTTTGTTAATTTTTAAAAAATATTTTATTAGTTCAATTTATATGCTGCCTTTCTCCGGAGACTCAGCCGCCCTGAGACTTGTTTGCATTAAGGTTGTTCTTTAGTTTTGTGAACGCTGAAGACAGAAATATATTTTCTTAATAGAATAGCTGCAATGTTCAGAACCAAATTTCAACTCAGGATGAGATGCCATATTATTCTATGATACATTGATGCACGTCACAGTTGTACATATTGTTTGTATCACAGGATTTACCCTGGTGGTGAAATTCAGCTGTCTCTATCCGGATTGCGCGATCTGGTAGCGTCAGCGGTGGGAGGCTCTGCCCATCTGCCCGGATGTCATCATGTCCCGTTTTTGACCCTCTGCACATGCGCAGAAGGCTCTGCGCATGCGTGGAGGAGGTGCGCGTGAGCTAGCGCACATGTGTGCGCACTCACATTTGCAAACCGGTAGCGACGGTAAGTGAATACCACTCCTGATTTATCCCATATTTTAGCAGTCCAAAGAGCTTATAGAAAGTAAACAAAAATAAGGATGCTTCCACAAGTTTCCAGTTCCCAATATCTCACAATCAGTCTAAAGCCAGTTTCAAAATAGGCAGAATAGGCAGTGTGACACTGTAAATCCATCATCCAAATGCCATTATCTCCAGTCAGCTGACTGTTGATGATGGAAACTGAATGTCTTCTTATATTGGAAGGAAGTTGACTGGTGGGAAAGCTGCTGCTGCTACAAGCCTTGCTCTTAGGAAAGGCAACCAGCCTCTGTTGCACAATAGCTGGTCAGGCTACCCCCATAAAATGGCATGCTTTGCCTGCTTGTACTTGGCTTGTACTATCCTCTATTCTTGCAGGATCCTCCCTTACCATCTGTAGATGCTATGTTCCATGCTTACTTGCCTTTCAACCTTCTGGGCACCCATAAATTGTAACCCTCCTTAATTTTGTTTATGAAATCACATGTATGTACATGTGGGGTGGGGGAATAATCCATTATATGAGAATCCCTGACCTAAGTCTATCAAATCTTGTTTTTATTTCTTGACTATAGCTATCTACTACACTAATGTTTTTAACATACAATAATTCTGAGGAAGCTTCTTTTTTCCCTTACTTGCATATAATCATAGCCAATTAAGTCTATGGAGTAGGGTCAACTAAACTGCCTCATTCTAGTTTTAATTTAAAATAATTCAGAGGAAGTATCTTTCCTCTGAATGGGACAGGTTTTTTTAAAAAAATATATAATTTAAAATATAAAAATATACTAAAACAGCTTTGTAAGGCCAGTTGAGGAAATTGGATTCTTTCTCAATTCAGTATTTTTAACATGATTATTTTTGATTATGATGGTAGAATCAGGAGTAAGTGGTGGCAGCAGGCAGTTTAGAAGGAAAACCATTTTTACTTCAATTTGAGAAGGCAGTATGCTTCTACTGCCCCTTCATAATTTAGGGCAGAAATATGCCTGCATCCACCCTACTTTTCTAATACATATTTGCTGGCTCCTCTTTGGCCTAAGTTGACTTCATTGCTGTCTAAGGAACATGGTAATTTAATAGAGTTTGTTTACAGGAAGTGACTCTCCTTCTGTGCACTATTCCTTGTATGAAAAAGTTTCAACCAGATCCTCAGAAACCATCCAAAGGTTTAAAGACTGGCGTAATGCTATAAAGACAGGAACAGCAGCTGTTTGGCACCTAGCCACCTGTAGGTGTAAAATCATCTCCAGAACTAAATAGGGAAGTCTTGAAGTATTGTACACATCTCACTGTATGTGCCCTATCGGAACACACTTCCTTGAATAGCAAGGTGACAAGCCCATTGGTTTTTTTTTAGGAAGGTAGCCTGCTTTGAGCTCTGTCAGGAAAAAAGGCAAAGAGTTCATCCCACCTAATGGAATATATATCAGATTAAACAACAGGAATTTTGAAACACTAACAATGACATAATACAGCTTGGTGCTTTTGCTCAGCAGACTAAATGGCTCTGTTCCAGAAATTCTCAGATTATGTTTTTCAACTTTTCAAGGCATTTGAAAATGTAGCATATCATCTCACTATTCACACTGAAGCCACACTACACATTTGATAATCCATCTACTCTACTCTATTTCCCTGAGTGTGCACAGCCTGTTTTTTCTTCTCAAGGATGTCATCTGGAATCCCACCTATGCAAGGCCAGTGTAGAGTAAGGCTTCCCCACTAAGGATCCCTTGAAAATCTTCCAAAGAATCCTAGGTTTCCAACTTTGGAAAATGAACAAGTAGAACAATCTTGTCCACCCCTCTGCTCATTTCACATACTTTATTTTTCTTAGATTACTGCTGGACCAAAACTGTACATGCGTGTTCATGGATTTTGGAGACAAGTCGATGGTTAACCAGTGTAGGCCAGAAATAAGTGTCAGGAAGGCGTAATAAGGTAAATATTTGATTTAAGTAGAACGGAATGACAAGGACTTCATAAGAGGTCAGAAAACTGGAAGAAGTCCAAGAATTTTGTAGCGAAGAAAGAATGTGATAAAAAAAATTAGGTGAATAAGTTGTTAATTGCTATTTTAGTCCATAATACTTCCAAGACTTCTATCAGCTATATTCCAAGTTCTAAATTTCACATACTGATTGAAAATTAATTAATTAATAAGATATAATTAATTATATCTTATCTTGTTCAACTATGTGACAGTACTTCTGATGTTTGAACAGTGCTATAAAATTCCAAAGCTTCTATAATACAGTACCCCCAACTGTGAACAGCTTAAACAAAATCCAACCTGGTGAATACCACATTACACTGGATTTTCAGATATATTTATTTCACATTTTCTATTCCTATGAACTATTTATGCTGCCTATTTCCTATACACCTGAAAATGCTTCTAAATGCTTTGATTCAGTTCCTCTGGATTATAAATATGTAAACTCACCAGAATTATCACAGGCAGCAAATCTTTATTTTTAAATCTGTGAAATATTGAAGCTATACGGAAGCGAGAGAAGCTAATTATCTCTCTTGACAATAAATATCGGAGTGCATAACTGTGGCAAACAAGTTATGAGATTATCTAAACTCATATTAGGCTGATTTGTGAATATACGTGTCAGATATGTGTGTACATGCTAAATAAATCAACTGTTTGCTGTATATCCATTACAATTTCAACAAAAACTATAATCCAACATCTGAAAGGCCAAACATTATTCATTTTGCATGGTTGAAGCATGGGATTACCTTTACAGTTTCCATTCTGTATTTCCTAGCCTATCCTTAAGATGCATTATAAGATAAAGGATACAGAAGGAAGACTGTTTGCTGAAGGTCTATTAATTCTTAGAGAAATGTTTGAATACAATAATTTTTGTAAAGTTTTCCTGAACATCTCTTGTATAGACATTAGTAAGTGAGTTTTGCTTTTTTTAATGAAAGCAAGCCAGGACTATTTCTCATGAATCTACATGTGAAACATGAGCTAGTTCCAACCTGATATTCTGTTTTGCCTTTATTGCCTGTTTCTGCTGGTTCGGGAATTTATATATAATTATGAAGCGTGAATGAATGGAACTGGATCTACAGCCAAATTCTAGGAGCTTTCCAAGCAAAACCTAAAATAATCAGAATTGCCAAATGTTAGAGTTCCAAATCTTAGAATACTGCATATTCTTTTGAGATCATTTTGCTTCAGGATTTTATATAAATAACATAAGTTTATTTCAGTAATACTTTTTATCTTAAAGATGACAAGTGCCATGACATTATCCCCAATTGACAATAAATCCAGTTGGATGTGGAGTAAAACCTCAGTCAGAAGCAAAACAGTAGCTCAAATGGGCAAATAATCAATAAATCAATGAAATAAAAATTGGTTGTCCTTCCATTCCTCTATAGATTTATGGAAAATTTGTTAGTCGGGAGAAATTGTTCAGATTTATGGAAACAAAGTAGAAAAGTTCTTATGTTGCATCTTAAATATGTAAAAGGGGGGGGGGAGGGCGTAAACAGGAAAGGAAGAGAAGCTTTGCAAAAGCGAGGGCAGGAGGTGAGAAAGCAAGAAGAGGAGGCTCCACCAAACCTGGCAAAAACAAGAAAGCTGCCCACTGAACGAAAGAAAGGCTGAATGGAGCATGAGCTTCCTAGGTTGAAGATAGCTGACTGATGTAATATGCCATTTCTGGATCAACCCTAAGATTGTAATAAGAACAGCATCTGTTAACCAGTAGCCAATAACCAAGGACAAAATGACCATCCAGGGCAGGAACCATCCCCAGAAGGGAAGAGATGTGCTATACTATACTATACCTAATCTGTGCTGGGTCTGCTAGTAGAATGGAAGAAGTCACTGCAGACCATCTGCTCTGAAGAGCTTAATGTGGCCAGGTTGCAAAACAGCAGTTTTAAACTGAAGCTAAAAAACCTGGCTGTGAAGTGCATTTGCAGGTGGCTGGGAGTAGGAGGCAGCCAAAGTCATCCATATCTGCACTCAGGAAACAGTGAATGGCCTATATTGGCATCGGACCAAGCAGAAAATGTGGATCTGTGCTAAGAGTTGTGATCACTGTCAAAATCAAACCTGTGAAAAAAACTCTTATATTTTCTTCTGAGATTGGGGAGGGAAATCTTTATTTTTTTTTATAATTGTTATACAATTAGGATTCAGCAACCCTCATCATTTCAGATCCACAATTTTTCCCCAAGAGACCCATCTCTGACCCAGACAGTAAGGTATGGCACAACTCAAGAGAACCAATATCATCATTCACTTTAATCAATAGTAGAAGCTAGAATTTTTATACTTTTTTTCTTGTAAATAGTTAAAAATGAATGAAACATGTACATACCCAAGCCTTGGCCTATATGTGGGCCGATTCTTAACAGGTGAACAATATGACGTAAATTGCTATTTCTATGACATGTACCATTTCCCTTATTTATTTCTTCCTGCCAACCCATTCTTTAGAGTATAGGGCTTTTTAAAACTTGAAGTCCGCTCACCTAAGGCTCAAATATAGCTCTGCAATGGCCAAAACAAAATGGCCAAAGTATCAGATTGTAAGTACAATAAAATATTTTACACTATCAGACAAAGATTTCCACTAAAGGGTGTTCCATCCTTTGTCCATGTTTGAGCAAAAAACAAAAAACTAAAGCAGCTTTTTCCCCTTTCCAGACATGTGGTCCAAGCCAATTAAACCAAAACCCACACATTTAGATAGAGGGTGCACACACTAGGGAGGTAATTTGGTCTGACTGTAGAAACCTTATAACTAGTACAAAAGAAAAAAGAATTGTACGAGGGGGGGAAAGGCTGATATTTACCTGCTACTGAATTTTTCAGGATGCTTTTCCCTCATCAAATGGAATCTATGTGCAATGGATGCATCCTATAAAAAGAATAAAGGGAAGCAAATGAAGCCTTTTATAAAGTACAGCCAGTTTTTCGAGAATTCTTAACACTAGAACTTATAGATTTGAACTGTAGCCTTATATTGTGCCTCCCCACAATTATTATAATTAGGGTTGATGTTACATTTCTCCACAAGCTTCTTAACGTTACCATACCAGAATAATGTCTGTTTTCAAGCACTTTCACATTACTACAGTTTGCACTTTGCATTTCTTACCCCCATTTTCATTTAGTTATTTAAATAACTTATATGTTAATCAAATAGTTTTGGGAACCAACAAAAATGCACATAAAATAATGGAGTGCTGAAGAAAAAGCCAAGGCCTCTGGGGATTGGATTTCAGGGGCAATTGCATTTGCCTGTAATTTCTAAAAAAATTAAAAGTGCTATCTCTGGGAAGGGAATGCAATCTGCCAAAGAATTATCGTTTTACTGCTTTTCAAAGAGAACCTTGGCAAGATACTGTGATGGCTGATCTTCTGTGGGGAAGTGGGAGAGGATGCATTGAGCTGGAAGATGGGGTGATGCAAGTGTTTCTCCCATGAGAAACTAGACTGCCATAAGTTCTCCCTAGAGTTCCAGTCAAGCAAAAAATAAAAAAAGAAACTTGCTTTAAGAGTGCTTCCTGCCAAAGCACAGCTAGAAGTAAGCTGACTCATCTGTCAATCACTGTCAATGTTGAAGGATCACAGAGATTGAGCACTAGGTTTGAAACGTGTGGAATCCTTGTATGGAGGGTACAATAAGCTGAATGTAGGCATTCTTGTGTTTTCTACCATTTTACAATACAAAGTATAAAATAACAGCAAATTTGAATGCTTTTCAATGAAAAAGGTACGGTTTCTCCTAGTCTAATGACTTCTTCCAATGTGATGCCTTTTTAAATACATTGGCCTAATTGGGGAAGGCTAATATCTGTTTTGCACTCCTACGGTAGAATACAGAAGGCAAAATATCCAGCTTAAAAAACAAACAAACCCTTAAGAATCATTAACAAAATAGTCTTGTATTGGATACCTTTGGCCATTCTTTGCTTTGCTGACAATTGTGTTCTTATCCTCACTCTGTTTAAGAAAGCATAAAGTTTAAACTGTTTTCAAATCGCAAACAGCAATGCAAAGAGCTTTCTTTCAGCATTGAGGTTTGGATTGCCTGTGGAATGCACCCTCCTCATCCAGGGATTAGCAAAGTCTACATCCCTCGCTTCATGATGGAGTATTGAAGTGTCACTAGGAAGGGACTTTGCAAGTCCAGGACCTGATCTATTTGTAATCCAAAACTTCCTGTTAGTGATATAGTTACTGGCCCACATTTCTCAGAGTCCAAAAATAAAGGGAGAGAAGATGGGAAGCAGCATGTGGCAGCCTAGGCTCAAGAACAGCTTGTTATCATCAGTGGTAACGCTTAAAAGCATCTTGTTAAGAGCTGGAATTCCAGAATAACACAGCCTGTTTATGTACTTTTCTTGTTCTTCAATACTCCGTAAATCAGTGATTATAATGACTTATACTGTGGATCTATAGATACAGAGTATCTAGGACACCAACGTCAATTTTCTTAAATATCTGCAAAGCATGAAAAATAATTTAATGTAATATTAATCATGTGTTATTGATTTTAAAAGGTCAGCACATCAATTACAGCCATTTGTAAGGCACATTGCTTATGTCTGTAACACATTTATGGCAATCATCAATCATTTATAAATGGAGCCTTACTATAACAGAAGAACATTTCTAAACAAATGCTTCAGTGTTTCCCTCCCCCCTTTCCATCAGCTGTTTCTTTTACCATGCCAGAACATTAAACTAGTCAGCTGTTGTGAGGGGCTTCCTAGCAACCCTACAACATGGGGATAAACTAATAATTATTTGACCAATTTCCATCAGTGAAAATCCGTATCAACCGTGAAGGCACACAGAATGTTTAATAGGACAAAATGGCAAAATAGTTAAAATATAATTATATAAAAGGTTATTAAAAGGCTATACATGCAGTTATGTAAGGCTACTAGTATAGCAGGAGAGCATATTCAACTGGACAGATGTGCTCGGCTAATAGGGCAGAAAATAACACATAATTAAAGACATGCGCCTTCACACTCTGCCCTATTAGCATGGAAAGGAGTATTTTCATTCTGAAATATTTATTCTTTCTGATTGCTGCTAGCCTATAAAAAGGTTGGTAGTGGTCAAAGATGCTTTTTGAGCAACACTAAATAAATACATCCTTGACATTGTGGCCATTACAACTTTCCTGAAGTTGCAATTCACGCTTTTGGCAAGCAGATTACAATTATGATAGTTGCAGTGTCCTATGATCACATGATCACCATTTGCAACCCTCCTGGCCAACTTCCAACCAGCAAAGTCAATAGAGAAGCTGGCAGGAGTGAAATTGTGAAACTACTAGGTCCTGTGGATCAGGAGAACTGAAACTAATTGCTCGGCAACTATGATTGAAACTGGCAACTTCAGGGAAAGTGGCAAATCAGAAAAAAAAAAAAGGAAAACATGCTAATGTCTGCAGCTTTTTCTGGACTTGTATGGTAGCCATGTAAGTTCAGGGGAATATATGTTTGAGTTAAAAAGGCAAAGAAATGTCTATAGGACAGGAAAAATGAGTTTCATCCTATTGCTGCCTCCATAATGTCTTCTGAACCAAAGCAGGTTTTTTCTTGAGGCAGTACTGTCACCACTTCTCCTCCAGATAGCAATAGCAATAGCACTTATATACCACTTCATAGTGCTTTTACAGCCCTGTCTAAGCTGTTTACAGAGTCAACATATTGACCCCAACAATCTGGGTTCTCATTTTAGCCACCTTGGACAGGATGGAAGGCTGAGTCAACCTTGAGCCAGTGAGATTTGAACTGCCGAACTGCAGCTAGCAGTCAGCTGACGTAGTCTGCAGTACTGCACTGTAACCACTGTGCCACCTCGGCTCTTTGGATCATCATCAAAATATATAAATAATGGTTGCTGGAATTGGGTATGTCTAATTTAATGAAAAGAGGGACTAGAGGTGACATGATAGCAGTGTTTCAATATCTCAAGGGTTGCCACAAAGAAGAGGTAGTCAAGCTATTCTCCAAAGCACCTGAGGGTAGAACAAGAAGCGATGGGTGGAAACTAATCAAGGAGAGAATCAATCTAGAACTAAGAAGAAATGACAGTTTCTTGTGACAGTTAGAACAATTAATCATTGGAATAACTTGCCTCCAGAAGTTGTGAATGCTCCAACACTGGAAGTTTTTAAGAAGAGATTGGACAACCATTTGTCAGAAATGGTATAGGGTTTTCTGCCTGAGCAGGGGATTAAACTAGAAGACCTCCAAAGTCCCTTCCAACTCTGTTATTTTAAGTATTTTCCTGACTCTGCAGAGGTACCCCGTGAATCCAGGAAATAGTATAGTTTATTTAAGGAGTTGCTGATAAAGTGGAAGAACATGTTGGAGCTGCAATACCTTTCCTGCTTCAGATCTGAACACTGTACAACCTACCATAGAAACATTACTGTATATCAGTTTTGAAGGAGCAGAACTGGCAGCTTCTATGCTAGCAAGAAAAATTCAAGCTACATGGCTCAGGTCCTTGTTGGTATCTTATTTCTCATCTTCCTCAAATGTATTTGTCCAGAAACTAACATCAAATAAAGAAGCTCTTTTGAAGAATATGCATTTATCACACCTTTAGTCTCAAGTGCTCCAGTTATGGAATTCATCTAAAGGCCAAACTGTTTATCCAGAGGTTTGGGTGAACTCTCCTCTTGTGTCATTTGGCATGTTGCTGTCACTGATATACTCTGTATGATGTTATTATTTGCTTTATTATTCTATAATGATTTTGGCGAAAAATAGTCATAAGCAAACAGGCAGAATGCCATGCCACAAACTTCTGAAGAGCATACACTGTGGAAATGATCCTTCTATTATACCTCCCTTTGCTTCCCAAATCAATTCTCTACTGCAGTCCTTCCATAATTAATGATGTTCTTATTAATGACCTTGATACTCCAATGCATTGGGAATAGTATAAAGGGAAAAAATGAAACAGTTGAGACTTAAAATTTATCAGCATGGTAAAAGATGACAGGATTGTAACCCTAAATATTTGAAAAGCCACATGAATACAGAAAGCCACATGATAACACAGATTGCTTACTACTCCTATGGAGAAATAGTTGTTGATGATGCTGAATGGGACTGGATCTCCATTCTCCTCTTTGTCATTGGGAATGACATCAATTTGCCATCGGTCCAGCATTACCTCAGTACTGTGCTCAATATCTTTAAGTATTTTTATTAGGTTGCCTCCTTCATAGCCTTGGAATAGAAAAATAAAAATTGACAGGTGATGAGGAACAGAATGTTATGGTGGAATTTGCCAAGCATTAATGGGGCAATAGAGTAAAAGGAGGCCAGGCAGTGACAGGCTGTACGGAATATATAGCCAGAAAAGAAATGCAGATGATGTATAATTCAAAGGAGAGACCAATCTGATGTAGCATAAGCCTCCTCAAAAATATAACGGGATTTGGAGCTGATGTCTGAGGCCTTGTATTCCATCCCAAACTCTAAATTAATTGCTGGTGGCAAAAATATCAGTATCGGTCTCTTGGCCAGCAACCAATGTGCATTCCATATAAGGACCAATTAAAATCCCAGCCCTAATAATAATATTAAATTGTAGAATAGTTCAGATTGCAACTCTGAAGCAGTATTTTGTGGGTAATAGAGTTATTGGTTGGCTATACAGTAGCTGCTGGCTGCATGGTGGATATTATGGGATTTCTGCATGGGATATGTATTTTAAATAGAAATGCACATCATGGATGCATTTGTCTGAAGTGGTGTAGGGTTTCCTGCCTAAGCAGGGGGTTGGACTAGAAGACTTCCAAGGTCCCTTCCAACTCTGTTATTCTATTCTATTCTATGGAGATCAAGAGCGATTGTGAAGAGCCTCCAATGGTACTTCAATAGGGTGTGCATGCACACAGGGCATACACTCATTTCCACCAAGGTGTCCATATCTTGTCTCACAGGGGAGAGCCAACTCAGTATGTTAGTTCAGGGGTGGGTTCTAAATTTTTTTACTACTGGTTCTGTGGGCATGGCTTATTTGTGGGTGTGGCTTGGGGGGTAATGTGACTGGGTAGGCGTGGCCAACTTTTTTTTAAAAAAACTTTTAAAAGCATTATTTCTACAACCTTAAGAGGTTGCAGAAAAAAATGCTTTTAGAAGCCTCTGATGATCAGGCAATTCATCTGGGATTTCCAGAGGCCTTTAAAGGGTTTTTTCCCCCTACAACCTCCTTGGCTGGAGAGATTACAGGAAAACATGCTTTTAGAAGCTTCTGATGATCAGGCAAATCTGCTGGGATCGCCAGAGGCTTTTAAAGGAATTTTTTTTCCTACAACCTCCTCGGCTGGAGAGGTTACAGGAAAACATGCTTTTAGAAGCCTCTGAAGATCCCACTGAGCCGTGCGATCATCAGAGGCTTTTTTTTTAACTTTTAAAAGCATTTTTTCAGCCGAAGAGGTTGTAGAAAAAATGCTTTTAAAAGTTAAAAAAAAAAAGCCTCTGATGAGGTGGGCAGGGTAAGCAACCGGCGACCGGGCTGGGGACCAGTTCAGGGGCGTGGCCAGCCAATGTTATTACCCGTTTTCCGAACTACTAAAATTTTTTACTACTGGTTCTTGCGAACCGGTGCGAACTGGGAGCAACCCACTACTGTGTTAGTTGTGATAGCCCATTGGTGTACTGATAAATGTATAACAATCAAAAATCCCAGCTGTATTACTGCCACTACTCTGCACCCTACCCTAAGCATCGTAGCTCATATCTGTATTCAACTGGCTCATAAAATTCCAGAAAATTTAATAATCAGCTGTTGTGAACTAGTACAAGCCAGTTCCATCACACCACTGCACCAGTCACTTAAAAAACCCATTCTACCATTGTTTTACAAGAAAGGTGGTGAGTGGTGACCCTCTTCTTTTAGTACTGTGACCTGATAGGAAAGTGTATGCAAAGCTTAGATTTTTTTCCAGAATCAGTACTACTGGTCATTAAGAATTTAAATCTGTATTTTATAAAACAAGATCAGAAATGTACGTTGCAAATGGAAAAGAGAAGAAATTGAAGAAAAGTGAACAAACATCTCTTAAATAAGTTGATCTCAGTTCCTGCTACCCCAGGAAATAGATGTTCTCTAAACTCCAGGATCCCTCACACATATACGTCGTAAAGTTCACACAGCCCACATCCCAATCCACAAAATGCAACAGATCTATATTACAACCAGTTTTGCTAGTCTAGTTTTTCATCCAGATTCATTAGTTCCTTTCCTGTAGCTGCCAAAACTGGAACCTTTGTCTTCCTATGCAATTAGCTGGCATCAAAGGAGAAGTGCAAAAACCAAAAACAAAAGAATGCCTGCTCTCTCTCCTCTGTTTACATACCCATCGGAGAAGGAAAACTGATTGGCTCCTTGTGTTCAATTGTGGGAACATGTTTAATTTTCTCCATTTATCTTCTGAATGGTGAAGTGAAGCTACCTTTCCTTTACCTTGCCATGAAATTTCCCCGTATTCATAATAGCAGCAAAGCATGGAAAATGGCTAGTGGCATTAAAAACAGCTACAGGTTTCAACAACACATGGGACTGCTAGCAAGAGGAATCATTGACAAGCCATGACATGAAATCATAGTGAACAAACCAAAACATTGGGCTGACTTGAGAGACTTACCTCCTCCCCATCGGAGGCAGCGGGCAAGATCATTCCCTGTTCCCAATGGCAGGATGGCCACAGGAGGGTGCTTTGCTAAGTTCATTTTATCTGCAAAGAAATAATCAACCATCAGAGGCCCACAGATAGGCCTTTGGGTATGATGACCTTCTTTTGCAACATCTGCCAGAGGAGAACTCACAGGAGTAGTAAAGCTTAACAACTCCCGAAGAGATAGAATTTACTTGAATTGTGTTCACCGGCTAAAAATAAAAACAACAACAACGGTAGGGAGAGTACATGATGTACCTGAAGCAAGTTGGCTAGAAGACTTGGCCTCAATGTGATAGATGCAGTGGATGGGAATCAGTGGTGGGTTGCTACCGGTTCACACCGGATCGAGCGAACCGGTAGTGGCGGTGGCAGGAGGCTCTGCCCACCCACCTGGATGCTTCTGTGCATGCGCAAAAACGTGCGCACGCATGAGCGAACCGGTAGCGATGGGATTTGGAACCCGCCCCTAATGGGAATCCACTATTAGTGGAAGAAATGGTGGAGGGGGAGGAAGGAGTTGGGGATTCGTATAGTATAATTATGATGAACCTTACCTCTACATCTGCATCAACCCCACCCCCACAGTTTAATCAAGAGCAAGAACACTTAGATTTATATACTGCTCCACAGTGCTTTATAGCTCTCTCTAAGCGGTTTACAAATGTCATCATATTGCCCTCAACAAGATTTCTCCCCATCTTTAAGGGAGTGCATTTTTTGTTACTAGATAGGCACAAAGATTGCCATGGTATGACATCTTTCAAAAATGTAGAGTCTCTGAGAGACGGGATTAAATCTTACCATGAGTGGCCAAAAGCAAAATAGTAGCTAAGTTACTTTCCACAGGTCCTTCTTGAGCCTTTATTAAGTTCAATGCGATGGCCAGAATGTACAGCTATAGCCAATATCGAAAGAGCAGGGGAGAGGAGGTGACACCACCACACTGGTGGTATACTACAAATTAAATTGTGAACAATGAATGTTAATATAATCAATTACGAGTTGTGTAAATAGCCACCTTCTCTGCTCCTCATAGAAAGGTTAAAACCTAGGCTTCCTCTTTTTATCTAAACTGTGCTTGTTGATTTTAATCTGTAGAACTGTAGCTCCTTATCAGAAAGTCCTAACAACTATGAAGAAGTGGATGGTAATGATAAGGATGCAAACTATACATTAAGCTAAGTATCTGCCTTTCTTGTCAGAGTTCCTTAATTCACAGTTTCTTTTGTTATACCAGACAGAGATATACATATATTCATGAGAAAGAACAACCTCAGCCTCTCCTTCCCTTCTCTTAGCCGTGACCCTAGACCTGACCCATGCTTCTAGTGATAATTTCATTTATCAACTATTGACAGATCCTAATTTACCTATGCAGTCCAGGATCCATCCAACTGTCCCATCCCCTCCACAAGCCAAAATACGAAAGTCTGGGGTATCACAGAAAAAATTTAATCTAAGAAAAAAGAAAAGGCAAAAAAAAAAAAAAAAGGAAGTAGTTTAGAAACGAATGCTTATTGTACAATATGAAAAATGTTACATTCTCCCCAACCTTCCAAGTGCATTCTGGAATTTATAATCTCAAATATCTGGAGGGTATATGACTGAGGAAGGTCTGACTTAGATGGTTGTTTTTCAAATTCTGCAATAGTGTACAGAAATGAACATACAAAAAATCATATTAGTTGTGTTCTTCATGATTAAAAACTGAGATAATATTTTGCTATTCTCAACTCAACAAGTGAATGATTAAGTGCAATCTAGTTGACAAAGAAATCATGCAATTTGGAGTCCAATCTATACTTCATGGACGAGATCTCTTTTCTATCTTTTCTTATGTAATGTAATGTAAATTTTAGATATAATTCCATTAACAATAATGCACTAAATAATCTCAGCTGCAAATAGCATTTGCTGCTTTGATCCTTTGTATTGCAATGAAGCATTCACATGTATTGTTTCATTAATTTATAGAGACCCAGTGGACTCAATAACACAAATGTAAGCAAATATAATACAACTCAGCATATACATACTTTAAAGAACCACCAGTCAGCTGAGCTTCTCAATCTAAGGCATATTAACAAGCTTTTGGGTAGGGAAGGAGGAGGAAATGAAGGAAATTGAACTGAGGAAAGAAGCAAAGAGGAAAAAGAAGTGAAGTGATAAGAAGAATAGATCAGAGACAACACAAAGGAAGCAAGTAATAGTAAGAAGGAGGACCAAAGATTATGATAAACAAACAAACAAATATGTGAAATAGGCCACATTTTGAACTTCAATACCCAGGATTAGGTCCTCCACGATCCAGATTGTAAACTTGTCTGGGATTGAGTATGTAATGGAATTTCCTATGTACCCTAAAAGAAAGAAAAATAAGAATAACAGCTGTAAAATGGAGAGTCAAGGCAAATTATTATTTTTTGCATTGTTTTGCCGATCAGTTTTTTCTTCTAATAGTGGAAAAGAACACCCAAGCATCAGCTACATTTGCTGTGAGAGTAACTACCGTACAATAATTACGTTGAGGAAGTGGAAGTAAGCAAGAACATGGGAGAAAATGACCTACTAATGGACTATGTAATGTAACTGATTTTAATGGGAACGGAAATTAATAAATTCAGTCAATGAAAAGTAGGATTCCGTGGCAAGAAACACGATAGTGAAAATTATTCAAAGATTGGGTGGGAATTCCTAAAACAGGAGTCACTAAGAACAGGATTCCCTCCCCCCCCAAAACATAATTAAAAGGAAAAAAAGTGGAACACAGCAAAAGAAGCCCACCTGGTTGCACAAACAAAGAAACAAAAAACAATCTTTAGGGAAAAATCTGTAAATAAAAGAACCACATAAAAAAGGGGGACAGTCATCAAGGAAGAATACATGCCAGTAAGTCTGATTTATAGATATGGCATCAAAAAAAGCTATGTACAGTGTTAGGTTCAGCTTATAGCTTACTCCTAACTTGTTGGTCAGGCAATATATCTGTTTCTTTAAGAAACAACTGAGCCATGTAATCAGGGTTTGCTGAACCCTGTAATTAGGCTACAGTGCATAAATAAGCAGCGCAGAGAAGCGTTCTTTGTTCCTGATTGCTCCTGTTACTTCCTGCGTCTTTCTGCTGATTGGTGTTAGACTGGATTGTTATATGGTACTGTATACCGAGAGTTACTAAAGTCTGTTTGCTTTGGTAAGGGAAGATACTTACTGGACTGATATTACTGTTTATGACCTTGGACTGTTTTACCTACACCGAGACTACTTATTATCTTGTATATAAAGTATTTTTCTCACACGAGCTGCACGTTTATCTCCTTCCCTGTGTGTTTCTGCTCTGCTCGTTGCACAAGCAACAAATACTTTTTACACACACCCTAACATACAGAATCAATTGAGGTTAGGAAAGGAGGTTATGAAGTCCTAGAAGAGGCTGAGGGAAGTGGACTTCAAGGACTTAAGAAAAGATGAATGGAGGCAATGGGAAAGCATGATAATGCTTTCAGATTTACAGAAAAAAGTGAAGATTTGTTTTTTGGAAATGCGTACAACAGGAAAACATCCTGTAGCCTTTAATTATATAAAAGTAGATTCCACTTGAGTGTTAAGAGAAGCTTCGTAACAGGAAGGGCTGATTGTCAATGGAATCAATTAGCAAGGAAGATAGTATGCTTCCCTTTGCTAGATTTGTTCAAGTAATGGCTTGGCAGCCACCTATTTTGGATACCTCCATTTTCATTTGAACAGGGAATTGCACTTAATGGCTCCTTCCAGTTTTACAATTTTATAATTCCAGGTGATGTTGAACTACAACTTCCAATAATCTCAACTAGCCTGGTCAACCATCTAGACGTTCATCAATTTTTTACCAACATTTTACATTGACTGGCAGCAGCTCTCCAGAGTTCCACTTTGGAGTCTGTCTTACTATTATCTGAAAATGCAAATTATTTAATCTGGATTCTGTATTCAAAATTGATATTCTGATGCTAAGCTATAGCAGTTTCCTGCTTCAGGACATCCACAGAAGCTTATAGGATTTAGCAATAGCACTTATACCTTTATACCATCCCATAGTGCTTTATACCATTCCATAGTGCTTTGAACAGAGCAGAACAGAATAGAATTTTTTATTGGCCAAGTGTGATTGGACACACAAGGAATTTGTCTTGGTGCATATGCTCTCAGTGTACATAAAAGAAAAGATACATTCGTCAAGAATCATAAGGTACAACACTTAATGATAGTCATAGGGTACAAATAAGCAATCAGGAAACGATATCAATATATCTTGTAAACTGCCCAATCTCTGGGCAGTTTACATCAGCATATTATCCTCAACAATCTGGGTCCTCATTTTACCAATCTCTGAAGGATGGAAGGCTCAGTCAATTTTGAGCCCTGTCAGGATCTAACTCCAGGCTGTGGGCAGAGTTTGCCTACAATACTGCATTCTGACCACTGAGCCACCAGGACTCCTTGTAAGAGCTCTTACACTTTTAAGAGTAATGATAAAAATACCTGGAATCATAACTACATTTTATAAGTAACATTACAGTTTGAATCCAAGGGAAAATCTGCTATAAAACATTTGCTTGAAAAATATTTATTTGTCTACAACAATTTATTGGTGCATTTATTGCATCACAATCTTAAATCTTGGAAATGTACAATTTTCCAAAAGAAGGGGGAAACATACCTTTCTCCTTGCCTTCCTCCACTCTTGGGGTTCACAAATACCAGCAATGGGTGGGTTCCTGGCTTAGGCATGATCTGAAAACCAACAGGGATATCAAACAAGTAGACTCCTTGCACAACATGCAAACATTGTGCAGAAAGGAGGAAAAATAAGTGATGTGGCAGAGTTACAGGTGAAGCAAAACAACTAACTAGAATAGGGGTTGGCAAATACATCCCCTTTACGACTTGAGGACTTTAACTCCCAGAATTCCTGAGCCAACCATGCTGGCACAGGAATTCTGGAAAATGAAGTCCACAAGTTGTAAAGGGGCCATAATTGCCCACTCCTGAACTAGAAAGATGTTGGGTAAAGAGGATTTAATGCTATGGAGAAACATTAGGATCCTCCAAACTCTGCTACTCTTTGCATCTTTTCTGCATATTATCTTGCTAGGCACTGGGCCACAAATTGTATATTGGACACAGACCAATAAATGGATATATTTATTTAGGAGTCTTGTGACCTTCTGCACATTTTTGATACACATCAAGTGATTGAATTCTTAAGGGCATGACAGATAATAGCCTAATCAAACATTTGCAAGCATTGATTCTATATCATTATAATCTTTTTTTCAAAGAGAAGACATCCTGAATTCTAAATTAGAGGAAATTCTATGGGGATGGATGTTCTGCTATTAACACATGCATAGTTTAACATAGCCATAATTCCTGGAGTGGGATAATGTCTTCCATTAGGCAGAATGAGGTATGTACCTCAAAAAACAGATGCTGGAAGGTGGAAGCAAGATGTTAGAAAAAAATGCAATAAGGCATGTAGTTTTCCTTTTGTCCCTTAACCAGCATTTCTCAATCTCAGCAACTTTAAGATACGTGGACTTCAAATCCCAGAACTCCCCAATCATGCATGGGGAAACATGGATGTAAATTATCAAATTGCCTTCAGGAACGCAAAAAACCCCCAAAACCTGTTCCAATGTCAATGCAAAGAAATATGCAACTTCCAGTCTATTTGACTTTTTATATGGAAATGGAGAAGGGAACGATGGCTTGTTATTATTTTTTTCTGGCCATGAAATGCTTTGGGACTATCTAGTCTCAGAGTGGTTTATAAGCAGGCTAAAGGACTAATATATTGACACTGTGTTCTGGTATATTTTTCTCCAAAGTGGCCTACTATTGCTCACAATGATGAAAGTACTTCTCCATGGATACATACACCTATATGTGTACAAGGGAGAAAAGATGTTATCAGCTACCCACCTGCAGTCCATGTCCATCCACTGTGGTAGTATTGTATTTGAAGATCATGTTTGTATCCTCGGGGGTGGTACTGGATGGTGATTCACTCTCTGATCTTCGTGAGTGGGATTGCCTATCCTTTTGAAGAGTCAAAGATGGATATGGACATTTAAAAATAGATAGCAAAGAAGTACTAATGACATAAACAGAGAGGAAATGATGGAATTCTAAGTATAAAAATATATATAATAAGACCACAAAAGACTAAGGATATTGTATAACACGTGGGTACTAAAATGCTGCCTATCAAACAGTGCAAAACTTATCATTTGGTAAAGGACATGCATTTTATAAATTCCAAATAATCTTGGATAACCTAGCAATTTTGCTACAAATTATAATTAAATTCTGAAAATATCACCCCAAAAGTAGCTTCTGCATAGCAGTAACCATAAAATTCCCACAAACAAGATTTAATTGAGGCATGATGTCGCTGATCTTGGAAAAGGCATAAAGCCATCATGATTAATAACTATGGAAAGATCTCCATTGAATTATCTAATCTTATTATCCGTTTTCTCTGTAGAATCATTCTGTACATCGTGGTCCCTTTTACTGGCCTTTTGTCTAATATTTCCAAATTAAGAGAGTTACTTCAACCCTTTATTCACTTTGTTTTTTTCTTTTCTTAACATTCATTTGACTTTCTTTCACTAATGTATACTCAACAAAGTTGTGGGCCATGGTTAGCTTTACTCTATTATACCTATGTACCTTCGGCTTGAGAGGAAACAGTCCTCTGTTATATAACAGGCATAAATGCTCCATAAAGTAAAGGTAAAGGTAAAGGTTCCCCTCGTACATATGTGCTAGTCGTTCCCAACTCTAGGGGGCGGTGCTCATCTCCATTTCAATGCCAAAGAGCTAGCGCTGTCTGAAGAAATCTCACTGGTCATGTGGCCAGCATGACTAAATGCCAAAGGTGCACGGAACGCTATTACCTTCCCACCAAAGGTGGTCTCTACTTTTCTACTTGCATTTTTTATGTGCTTTTGAACTGCTAGGCTGGCAGAAGCTGGGACAAGTAACGGAAGCTCACCCCGTTACGCGGCACTAGGGATTCGAACCGTTGAACTTTCGATTGACAAGCTCAGTGTCTTAGCTACTGAGCCACCATGTCCCTAAATGTTCCGTATTGGTTTATATATTTAGAGTTTCTCCACATAAAGAGGGACTCTTTGTGAAAAATATTACTTAATGTATTCTGCATTGGTTTGATACATTCAATTTACTCCATTTTTAATATTTAAGTTCTGATATATGTTGTTGACACATAATAATTTTTATTTAATCCATTTAAAAATTTTGTTCATTAGTGATAGTCAGATACAGTAGACAGACAGAAGACTCTAGATCAAAAATCCAGGATTCCCCCCGCCCCATTGTATAATGACATGATTGAATAATAATTAAATTTGGACCTTGTAAATAGATGAAAAGAGATAAAAGCTTTAACATAGATTTATTTCATTTAAAAATCAAAGGTGATTAATCTATAACACCCCCCTCCACACTGCCATTCATACTTGTGACATCCACATATGTCCTGGGAACCATCAGTGTAGTTATTATGAGAACCTTAGTGCACTTTTCCCAGCTTGAGACCATGGTGGGCAAGATTGTGGGGAACTATGGTTACACAGTTCAATACCCAATACACAGGGTATATTCCCCAATACACTGGGGAATACCAGGTTTGGAATGGCTAATCTAATTAACCAAATCAGCGTGGATAAAATCATTTGGATCATGAGACTATATTATCCAGTTGTCTTAACCAACAACAAAATACCACTCATTAAAACATTATTTGATGTGTGCCAAGCAGACTCATTTACCAGAACAACTGGGCAGATCTGGGAAGGCAGCAAGATGTGGTCTTTTAGATGCCCACCATCACATTCAGGTTTCACATGTGAGGCACATTTGTTGTGAAGCTTTAAAAAGAGAGAAAACAGCATGTACCAATGTTTACTTTCCTGCTTCCATCCTTAGCCATTTGATCCTCTAAATTTTTCCTTTACTTGATCAAGAAAATTATAAAATCAGATTAGCAAAGCACCTGAAGTTTCTTTGATAAGATGGCTTTTAGCCACTGCTTTCTATTGGGAGAGTTAATTCTTTAAGGAGAACGGTCATGAGAAAATAGTGATACTTTTTATACCAAAATGCAGAGGGGAAATGATACAGTTATACATCTCTAGCCTTGGCTTGGCAGATATTGTTGTACGGAACAAATGTCTGGAGGTGTGAGTGCCTAGATCGGGAAGACCCCACAGCCCAAACCTGGCAAGATGGAGTGGCTCTATGCTTTTGGTCCCTGGTGATTTATCATGGTGTTGCAACAGCAGCCTGTGTATCTGGCACCAGAGTCAGACAATGAGGAGGATGGAGAAGATGTGGTGCCAGAGGCAGGGATTCAGCCAGGGCCTTCAGAACCTCCAGAAGCTCCTTTAAGTGAAGAAGATGAAGAGGAGGAGCCTGTTCTCGATGCACGGGTGCGCAGAGCGACCAAAAGGCAGAAGTGGCTCCTCAGGAGGAGATCTCCTTGAGAATAAGGCTTGGGGCTAATTGGCCACTCCCTTAGCCTATTAAGGAGGAACGCCGACTGAAGCAATTTGTAGGGAACAACTTTAGTTCACTCTGCTTCGCGTCTGGATTCTCTGCAAATTGCTTCTGGGCTTTCTGCCAACCTTAGTAAGATTGTGATTACTTTATCTTTGGTTTCTCGTAGGCTGTTAAGAAAGTTTATTAACAGCCTTTGTTTTGAAAAAGACTGAGTTATTTTAGTAAATTAAGTTTTGTACAAACTTTGTGTGTGCTGTGTTCTTTGGGATCCATAGCTGGGGCAAAACACTTCCTCAGATTTAGCTAGTGCACTATTTGTGAGATTTTCCTGGTATCATTGTTCCTGCTCAGGGAGACCTTTGCATAGAGCCATGTTGTGCATCAACTGTGTTCATTTCTGGACTGGAAGACCTTGATCATGGTCAATACGTTTTACATAGGTTGGCCTTTCAGATTACTTGGAAGCTACAACTGTCCAGCAGTGTATCCTCCTCTATCACATTAAAAATTACAATTTGCTGCTAATTTTTAGGAGGAGCTGTGGAAGGTTATGCTTTTCTGTTGTAAACAGCTTGTAATTCTGTGAAATTGTTGCTGTTTCTTCAAAGAACTGCTTTGAGTTCTTTGGAAAAAGAGAAGAGTTTAAATTAAAACATTAATAAAATAATGTTTTTAAACAGCTCTATTCTTCCTGCCTTAATATCTGCAGGTCTGGTAAACTTCTATACCTATCTTAAGAGTACCATTCACCACACATAACGATAAAAATAAAATGCCTCCAAATATAAAAAAGCAATGCATCCTATGAGTTTTATTTTTGTACCACAGAGGTGCTTACAATAGTTCACAATAGTTGCAAAGTGGGTAATATTATTTTTATCATCCAATCTTGGATGTGTTCCTTGAGAAAGCCAATTTTGTCTCTGAAGCCTTCTAAAAATACATTGTGGACCTCCCTTTTCACAAAGATTTACTTCATATATGTCAGAATCAGGGTTATAAAAGAGGCAATGTATAGTGGCATGAACTGCTGAGCTGCAATATTTTTAGCATTTATGGTTTCTCTATAATTTACTGAATAATGGCTATTTTTGAGATTAGGAGGGATAACTACAGTGGTAAGGGAAGACGAACCTTTATTTCTTACAAACATGTCACAAAATTTATTAATTTAAATGTGTAACAATCTGTCTTGACTAAAGTAGATTTCCGTAATTTTTGGTTAAAAATAAAAAGACCACATTCTCTTCACGTACTCACTGTGATTTGGCACCATGCACAATGTAGTCCGGTAATTCCCTGGTAGCATTTGATGCTTTTATGACATCGATCACACTTGGCTGGGGAATTGCCCTCAATCCATGTGTGCTGCATAACCTAGAAATGCAAAATTGTTCAACTAGCTTGGTAGAAAGGGAGGATAGTGCAAATTTAGGGAAGTTCCTACTACAGGAACTGTCTCCAACTTCAGTTTAGGGAATCGTTTCTCTGATTATCAGATATTTCTATACATTTATATCAGAGCCCTAGTGACATAGTGGTTAGAATGCAGCATTACAGACAAACTCTGTCCATAGCCTGGAGTTCGATCCTGATAGGACTCAAGGTTGATTCAACCTTCCATCCTTCAAAGGTCAGTAAAATGAGAATCCAGATTGTTGGTTACAATCAGTTACAATTTCAGCAGTTTTAATTTCTCTGGTACAGGGGTATCAAACTCAAGGTCCACGGGCTGGATTCTGCCCACAGGGTGCTTTGATGTGGGCCGCAAGGTGCTTAGATCTGGCCCGTTGGGCTGCCCTGGAAACAGCAAAGGACCGGCCCATGGTGCCTCTGCCAGTGAAAATAGAGCTTGTGTGTGTGGCCCACCCGAGCTCTGTTTTCACTGGCAGAGGGTTGCCGGAGGCTGTCTCAGCTAAAAACAGAGCTTGGAAGCCTGTTTTCTCTGTCAAATGGCCGCAGGAGGCCGTTGCAGGCAAAAATTGAACTTGTTTTTGCTGGCAGAGCATTCGGGCCACCACAGGCACCCCCAACATGATTGACATCAAGATGACCACGCCTACCCTGGCCATGTCCCCCCCCCGCCCCCATAGGTCAAACACAACCCTGATGTGGCCCTCAGTGAAATTGAGTTTGATACCACTGCTCTAGTACTTATTAGTACTGTTGATGTACGGTATTATTTATCTAGTGTACCTATTAATACTGTTGAAGTAGTTAATTGAATTTGGTTGAGCTTATTGAAGATGAGAAGATCTGGAAGGCAGTATTTTTTTGGACCTACTTTATATTAAATGCCTATACTGATTTTCACTAAATACAAATTTAAGGCAACAAGAGTTAAATGGAGTCAAAAAGAACACATTATCAATTTGCAAACAAAAATTAATCCTAAAGCTTATCTGCAAACCCTGCCCCAAATATAAAGTCCGCCATTTGAGACTAATATGTATATATTATATCAAAATCACAGCAGTGAATTGGTTGTCATAAGACAGAGACCTCTTTTACTAAAATAGCATTAATATTACAGTATGGACTGCATGTTCTACATACAGATGGCTTTTGAATTCATGGCAGATGATTAAATAGTGGACACATAGTACTGATCTTCCACATATGCCTCACTTACATTTGTATTTCTCTTGGATTTTACATAAGTATTGATGCAAGGAGCAATATCTTTGGACACACATCTTTCATGGACAGTATATTTACAAACTGTAGAAAGGAAAGAAAAAAAAGAGAGAGCCATTCTAAATTACTGTATTGAGTACAATTTCCAGCTACTTCTAGAGTTTGGCTGTTAAAATATAATATTCCATGTATGCAATTGTATGTACAATTCTTCAAAAAATTCTAAATGAGTAACTGTTGTTATAATCCATGATAGTAGATTCACCATTCACTATTGAGATGGCATTGATGACACTTGTGGATGACTTCTGGCTGGCTAGGGACAGAGGTGGTGCATTTGTCCTAGCTCTCCCTGAACTTTCAGCAACTTTCCAGACCATCAATTATGATATCACTCTGAACTGTTTTAGGGGACTGGAAGCAGTACTGTGGCAGTTCCCCTCCTTCCTTTTTCAAGTGCAATTCCAGAAGGAGAGATTGAGCCCTAAATGTTTGTGTTGTGGGTTGCCTCAGGATGTGATTCTTTTACCCCTCATGATTAACATCTACCTGGTGTTGGGTGAGGTCATTTCTCAGCATGGGGTTTACAATCAATATGTTTATATGTTATCTTCTAAACCTCAGATTCCCATAAATTAAATTTTGAAAGTAATGTATTAACAGTTGCCATATTTATTTATGTACTATAAATTATGTTCTATTGAATCCAGTGAGACTTCTGAGTAGCCATCTATCCTACCTTAATATTTGAAACTCTTGTCCCAAGGTTGACCTCCAAGCTTTCTTTAGATAGCAAGTGAGGACATGCTTCTTTCACCTAGACTTTTTAAAAATAATCTATTCTCTCTGAGTTGTTACTTTGGTTGTCCTGAAAGTGGGTTATCGTTTGTATCCAGTTCTATAATAAAATGGTGTACAACTGGAAATATCTCAAGCTTCCCTTGAGAAAGGAAGGTACTGGAAATATTGAAACCTTACTATCTCTGTTTTAAGATTAAAAGGAACTAAATCAAAAAATTATTTCCCCATTTTTTGGGGAGATTTTGACATGACCCTTCCCAACTGACATGCAGGTAACCTCACTAGCCATGATTATTGTGCATCTGCAGGGACTTACAGGAACAGCACAAGCCTTGCTTCCTAACTCCCAGTAACATAGTACGGCAAAAGTTGCAGTAGGCAGGCTTCTTGAAATGTTTCAGTCTCCAAGCATGTTGGCCATCATCCTTTATATTCTGTAGGGATTTTTTTTAAAAAAAAGTTCACTTAGCAGAGAAGAATCAGTATGATGAAGCTCCAATAACCCACCAATGACCCAATCACAGAAATATGCACTTTGCACAATTATCAATATTATCCCTTTATAATGTGAACTAATAATGTCAGAACTATAGAAAACATTTATCAGTTTTCCTCACACAGACGTTCTTGTTGAACTTAATTGGCATGTCAACAACCTGTAAATAATTGTCTGAATTAACCTATGTTATAGTTTTGCTAACTTCTCTTTATTTTTTGAAGAAGCAGGTACAGAATTTTTTAAAAATTAAACTTTTACTACCATGCAAGAAAATAATCTAAGACTCAAAATAAATAATTACCTAGAGAATACATTAACCTGTCTTGACTTGATCTTCTCCTGATATGCTACTGTACATTTCTATCATCTCCAAACAATAACTATTTTGATTGGAGATTCGGTCTGATTACAGTGGGTAAGTCAATCAAAATAGCCTTTATCCAAAATATTGTATACTATTTTGGCGGAATTGGTCTAAATAATTTATGCAGTATCATATAGTCAAAAGACAAAGATTGAATATCCTAATGAATTATAACTTGGATTTCTAAAAATGTAAATATGTTGTTTTTCTCAGCAATTAGTGTAGAATGGTATAATTATAATTATCTGTAAGGTATGGTAGACTTTTTTGGGTGGGAGGAGAGGGTGTTGCAAGCATCTCTGACAGATATAAAAGATGGATGGGTGTCCTGTCAATAGTAGCACCTCTATTTTATTTATTTATTTAACATATGGCATCTACAGAGATTGTACAATCATTAATATACAGATTTAGTTTAAATAATGCATCAGCAAATATAGATACGCACATGTGTGTATGTGTGTGTGGTGTATATATTCAATACAATATAGGAGATATTAGATTAAGATAAAACCATATAATCACCATAATATGGAGCCATAGAATTGCAATAGGATAGATGTTATAATTCGATATCTAAGGAAGCTAACCATCTAACTGCTTCTGGTGTGGCTGGAATGAGATCATCCCAGGTGCCTTGAAATTTCCTGAGGAGATTTCCTTGAACGATATGTATTATAGTTTGTTCCGGTGCACTAGTCACATTGCAGGCTCTCGGCCATTCGGCATGTTTATCTTATTCCACTCTCAAACTGTCTGTTGTCATCTGAGATCAGTCAGGAGGTGCAATGTTAGAAAGAACATGAAGCCATGAGAGTGGTGTGGATTTAAGGGTTCCAGATATTATTCTCATTGTGTCATTATGATGAACATCAATCTTGTGCGTATGACAACTTCCCCATACAGGTGCTCAGTATTTGGCAACAGAATACGCTAATGATTGTGCCACTATACACTATATGCAATTATCTCTATGATAAGTATTGAAAAAGCAAGTGTCTAATTTGGAAGAGAGTGAATCAACATGATTCCATGAGTGTTATTACAGCAAAAGGCACTCCAGAGTACTTTATTACTAATATCTGCATAATACAATTTCAAATATTCCCTTTTGAATGGTTATGGTGGCTAGCATATCTATCTGGGATACAGTGATATGCATGGAGGCTTCACAGCAAGAAAATCTAATCTCTGATCTACATTTACTTACAAAGGCACAAAACACAAACACTTTTCTACTATTCAATGCAACTTGGTCTTTTCGCCCCCTAAACATTTAGCTTATGAATTCCTATTTTGAGCCAAACAAAACCATCAGCTAAGCACCAAAGTTGCACCAGCAAGTTCATGGAGGTGACTTTCAACAGTTGCATTACACAATTTCCAGTTCATTTGCCTTTTATTTTGCCTTTTAACTTTATTTTATTTTGTATTTCACTCATTTACAAAAAGACCACAAACAATACTCCCTAAGGACAAAGCAAAGCCTTCTAATTGGGACTCATAAGAGTTAGTCCAGAAAATTATAAAATTAGAAGAATCCACTAATCTCAATCAAACAGAGAACTATAGGGGACTGTAGACATTGAATCAGGTCAGTTGTTTCCAGAAGAACAAATAGCCTTTTACCATGTGACTAGGTAAAATAGGAATTGACATGCTACCAAAATGTTGAAAGAAAAGAAAAAAGCAACCATCCAGCCTATCCTGAATAGAAAATGTATAAAACACAGAATTCACAATTTTTAAATGGATAGAACTTTATACAGGAATATTACCGCAGGTTTGCTGTCGGATAACAAAATGTGCTGCTTATCTTCTAAGAAGTAATGTAGTGGATCAGAAAAAAAGGCCTTACATAGTTTGAGATTATTGCCCCACAATTGTCAATAAAGCTTATGGAAACCTCACAAAGAGCATATTAACATCCTCCTACTCATGTTCCTCAGGAACTGACATTCAGAGGAATATTGCCTTTGGTGGTACATAACTGTAATTACTAGGCATAATGACTAATACCCTTATTTTTAAGAAGTTGTAGAATTAAAATTAGAAAATATATTTTCCTAAATACATATATATTTCAATCTGTCCTATTGTATTGTGTTTTCTATCTAATTGCTCAAGAAGTCAAGACCATCAGATAATCTCTCAAAATCTATCAGATGACCACATTACCTTCTAAAGATAGGACTCCTAAATCATGAGATTATAGAACTGAAACTGAGTACATCACTCCTGCTGTTGATGTACCAGACAATGTTTACACCAGGAATTCAAAAGGTTGCTTGTATTGTATGTCTCAAGAATCTAGGGCAGATGGAGGGGTAAAACGGATATTGGTTCCATAGCACCATAATATAACAATGCACAATTACTATATTATTAGATTTCATTTGAACCTAATTAAATTTATTTATATTGATCTCCTTCACTTTTTAGAAGCTTTGGATAACTGTTAACACAATCCTTGAATACTGGGCAGATAGTCAAGATGTTCTTAGTGTCTATGGGTAAAAAGGAAGCTGAGAATCTGGATTTTGCAATACTTCCACTCTCAGAAGGCCAGAGACTTAAAAGAGTCTAAGAGGCTGTATATATTCAAGTGAATGTTCATTAGAAGTTCCTCTGCTTTGCACTGCACTACGCCGCATGTGCTTTATCCCTTAGAGAGAGACGTAATGTACATACTGTCTGTTATGTATGTTATATATCAAAAGCAGTGTGTTAATTTTTTCTGTCTTTGAAAGTAAAAGTTAGATAAATGACTGCCTTGCAATGTAAAACATTTCTTAAATCCTTTCCTTATTTTCCATCAAGCAATGCAAATGTTAATAAAAATAATTACACATAATGGGAAACTACAATTAGATTATTGGTGCAAGTTTTCATACTTACTTTTCTTTACTTTCTTGTAAGCAGATTCTGATTGATTATATCTAATTTCCTTCAGAAGGTCACATTCTGTACGGCACCTTTTCTCAACTTAATTCCCATAATTGCTTCCTGGCTACAGTTTAAAGTATTGGTGCTAATTTTCAAAATTACAGACAGCTTGAAATCTGATTATTTGAGAGATTTCCTTTCCTATTAAAAATCCTTCTAGTTGTGAAGGTTTACATAAGAGGCCCTTCAGAAGACGACTGGTTTTCAAAGGCAGATTCATTCAGTTTGCAGGAGAAGACCTTCAGTTGCATTGCTTCCAGTGGTGGATTGTCCACCTTTGGGATTCTATTAGGCTCACACTCTTAAATTAATTTTTATTAAATGCGTTTTTCCATGGAGTCAAATACAAAGTGAAATGGACAAAATTAATAGAAACGTGAAACAATTATAGAAAAAGAAAGATAAAAGAAAAACAAAATAAAGAATAATAAAGAAGTGGCTTCTGGTCTTCTTAACCGTAGTTACGTGTACATTTTTTTTTTGCCTTGGAAAAAAAAAGCAGCTAAATGCATATCTTTTGCCAGGCCTTTTTTTTTTTTTACTGTTAAATAATATTTGGTTTGGTTTTAATTTATGTTTTATGTTTAATTTCTATTTTACATTCTGCATTTCAATTATTGTTAGTCACATTGTATTGTGTGGAGAAAGAAAGGTTATACAACAAATAATAACTCTTTCCTATCCTAGGTAAAAGTATTGTTACTCTAGGATACACCATGTTGGGAAAGTTTGGCTTATTGTTGTGAGGTCTGGCCTGTTACTCACGGTTTCCATGCCTAGGAGAACAAGCAGAGGGATGGTAGTCATACCACCCCGAATCCATTCTTCAAGTGTCACAGTTCCATCATGATCATAGTCTATTTCTTCCATCATCTCTTTCAAAATCTGTAGAAGACAAAGTCCAGTTACGTACATCATTTTTTTTTCAGTTGCAATTATATTTTAAGTTAGGAAATGTTCTGTAGGCTTTGAACACTAGTACGGGAAACAAAGTTGATTGCAACATTAAGTTAAAGAATCAAGGGCACTGGTGTTTGCATTGTGAATCACAGAGTCTAGGAGGTAGACTTAGCAGCGGAGACAACATCTAGGCTGCAATTTCAGCCTGAATATAATCAGCTGATCTCACAGACTGAATGCTGTCAGTTGATTCCATTAGCTGATTGAGACATAAAGGTGTCATACAATATTTCCACCCAAGTCAGGTTGTCAATCTGAACTCTGGGTTTCATCACATTGTTTTGATTTCTTCAACTTACTCTTTTGCTTCTTTTGCTTTTTTTAAAAAATGCATGCTTGTTTGCAGCAGACTTGGATCGGATAATCAGTCCCAAGAATAATTTAGAGTTCTCTGGAATTCTAGTTTTATGGTCGAGTTCTGTTTGTTTGGTTTTGCAGTTCTTTGTTACACGTTTTCCAAGTCAGATTTTTTAAGCCTCCAACTTCTCTTCCTGTGAAACTATAATTATCCTTATTCCTTAAAAGATGTTTTAAAGAAAAAAAAAGCTATGGGTGGTGGATGGCTTAAAATTCTGTTTTTTCAAAAATAATAACCCTTTTTTGGAACTATTCTATTTGTGACTTGATTATTACAATATGTTTGACATGTTTAAACTGGCTATTTAGAATTAATGGGTGACTCAAGAAATCATAAAAAAGAACAATAACAACAAAATGTGGCATATTAAAGACTAATTGTAGCTTACATGTTTAAGAACAACAGTTAATTTTAAGATGCCACAAGATTCTGTTTTTGCTGCAACAGACTAAGATAGTAACCCTTCTGGAAATAAAAATAGGGATCATCCTTGTATTTATAGTTCAATCTCAGTAATTTAGGACCAATCTACATAAAATTAAATATAAATAGTATGTAGATACTTTTCTAATTTTTTAAAATGCTTGTCGCAGCAATGCTGACTGGGCCTTGGAGAAGAGAAGTTTTACACCATCTTTCCATTTGCCACACAAAAATGCCAGTATTGACTTTAAACCAGAGATATTTTTATTAGGGCTCTTACCAGAGACATTTAACAAAGAATTGCAATATTTAATTGTGAATATTTTAACAGTGGCTAGAATTGTATTTGCAAAAAACTGGAAAGGAGAGAAGATAATTGCTGATGAGGAAATTATTAAGAAAATGTTGGATTGTGCCGAAATGAGTAGATTGACATTTGAAATAAGAGAACAGGAAGATAAACAATATTATTTGATATGGGAGCTATTTTACCAATGGATAGATAAAAAAGCATGGAGATGAAATATTATATATGAAATGAAATTTGGATAAAATGTTTAAGCACTTGTTTTTTGTTAAAGGAAAGAACATCTGTCATATAATGAGATTTTGAAAACTTTGAGAGCACGAAATGATTTTAACCGATCGAAATACTGTCTGTAATTGTTTGGAAGTTGATGTTTTTATGTTGTTTTTGTTTAAAAAATAAAAAAACTTTTTGCAAAAAAAAAAATGCCAGTATTCTGCATGGGGGAATTACCCAAAGAAAATGAAAAAAAATCACATTGGACAAGGCATATGTTGCTAAACATGTTTCTGGGAGGAAGGTGTAACCTTCTGCATATGGTAATCTTAATTAGTAGTGATCCACTACTATGTTTACTTTGCTGTAAAGGAAAGGGAAAAAGGTAGTTATACATTGTTTATTGAATATTGTGTATGACTTAGCCCTCAGAGGAAAAAAATGATGCTCACAAGCAGAACAAAGCACTTTTTAAAAATAAATTCCAATTCTACATGGAAAAATAACTTACAGGCCTTAATTCTGTGGAGTCCCATTCCAGATATTCTGCTACATGTACCATTTGATTGATAATACGATCCAGCTCCTGAATTTAGAAACAAGATGGATGAAGATAAATGTTTTTAAAACAATGTGAGTGATATACTATATGGATGTTGCAATTACATATCAGCATGCAAGAAAAGAAAAGGTAAATATCTTTATGAAGGTGAGCCACCTCTTTAATACAATTGTGTCAGATTACTTTTTTTTCTTTTTAAGAATAAACACTTTAAAGAGCTTGCAGTAGGGTAATATTACACAGCACAGCTACACCCATATCATTGCCTTCCATTTAAGTTTTCCACAAGGTAACTGAATTACTCTATATCAGAGGTCTTCAAACTTGGCTGCTTTAAGACTTGTGGACTTCAACTCCCAGAATTCTCCAGCCAGCATAGCTGCTCTATATCAAGACAGTTTTGGAAAATTTAAAGAGCCAGACCCAAGCTTTGATGCTGCTATTAACCAGCTAAATTTACCAGAGCCTGCCAACTTTTAAAAAGACCTGTATAAACCCCTTTATGAAGAATCCCTCAACTTGAAATGATCTTGTTTCCATGCTGTAGCTTAGCTGGAGACTATAAATGTTTTCCCAGAGACAGCCAGATTTCACTGATGTATCCCTCAACCGAAATACTTTGTAGTAGCATCACAGTAGGAAAGCCCCAATGCATTTGGGAAAAAAAGTAACTTCTTATCCTTTTAAAGAAAAAGGACTAGTTTGAAGGATAGCTTACCGAGCTGTCCAGGAAGCCATTTCCATCTGTATCATAGAGGCGAAACATAACTGCAAGAAAACACACATGAGCAAAGATATGTAATAAATGTATGTGCCTATCACAAAAAGGGCGAATGAGTCAGGTTTTACTATCTACCACTGCCTTAATTAAATTCAAGGTTTGAACTGACCACAGTGAAGTCTTTGCCTTCAGTTAACCCTTTGTATTTGATAATTCTCATCAAAATAAATGCATAGCCATACAAAAGAGAAGGAATTCAAAAGCGGGTAAGTAAACATTAGCTGAGCTCTGAAAAAGAGGTGAGAAGGAAACTCAAGATTACCACACAGGTTTTATTATATTTTTTTGGTGTAACAAAGAGCAGAGGGAAACTTTGTCAAGCTTCCAAAATTCTGTTACCGGAGATAGTCCTTAACTTAGAGCCTTTTGTTCAGTAACTGTTACAACAGTGCTAAATGAATGGTGGTTACAACCAGTTCTCAAGAGTTTTGGCTGCCCAGCCAGCAGTTTTGGAGTCACATAATCATAATCTGGGCCAGTGGTGAAATCTGAACTGGTTTACTACCGGTTCTCTGGCTGCGCATGCACAGTGTGCACCATGCACCAAATGCGAGGTGTGTGTACACAGTACACGCCAAAAGGAGGCATGCGGTAAGTAGAACAGTGCGCGAGGGGGGGGTGATCAGCTGTTGCGCGCAATCTTTTTTTTAAAAGTAAAAAAAAGTAAAAAAAAGAGCCTCTGACTATCACGCTGCTCACCTGGGATTGTCAGAGGCTTTTTTTTACCTTTTAAAAGCATTTTTTCTATAACCTCTTCGGCTGAACTTTTTCAGAAAAAAAGCCTCTGATGATCATGTGGCTCAGCTGGGCATGGGGTGGGGGCAGGGATTTTTGCTACCGGTTCTCCGAACCACCCACCACCATTGCTACCGTATCAGGTGATCCAGTCCGAACCAGGAGCATTTCACCCCTGATCTGGGCACTTGGCAACCATCTTGCACTTACGACCAGTTACAGCACCCCGCAATCAAGTGATTGCCTTTTGTGACTGTCCCTGGGGCTTTCCTAGAAGATCAATGAGAAAGTCAGCAAAGAAGGTCACAAGTCTCTAGGGTAAGTTACCTGCACACCCTCCTCCAGCCCTCTGCACTCACACTGGGCCAGCCACTTGTACACCTTCCTCAAGCTTTGCCTCACCTTTTCTACAATTGTTGCACTCTCATGCACCCACCCTGTTAATATAGCTAGCTAGACATTTTAAAATTATTCTTCCTATAGTGATTAGTGACTGAAAAATATTAATTTCTGTTTCAATTATATTTGGGTCCCTCCTCCAGATGATCCTGAAAATTCTAGTCAGTCAATTTTTAAGGCTATATTTTCTGGCCACAATTCCTAACTTTTACTTTCAAGATAAAAAAATCTTTTCTGTCTAGTGGAAAGTAAGGGGTTTGGACCCTAACCCTGAAGATGTGAGCCAGAGCACGCATCTGCCCCATGTTATGGAAATTATTGTAAAACTAGATGACTAAATTATCACTTAAGAAGTCTGCCCAACACGTAGTTGGCATTCTGGAATACTTTGGAGACAGTTTGGCTTTACATAGCTATATTTCTACTTTCTGACTGCTCAGCGATCAGGAAATTAGTTTTTTGCAATTGTAGTATATGCGCATCTATATTCCTTAAGAATCAGTATGAATTGCATTCAGTAAATCAGAGTTGTCTCCAGCCCCTCTTTTCTGGAAGTTGGCAGTCTGGTGATGATTCTTGAAGATTGGAGGACTGGGTCTTTTTGTTTTTCATTTTCAGTTAAAAATAAACCAGGCTAGTTTTTCCCAATATGGTGTTGTTCCAGTATATGGGGCTTGAAGTACTATATTCAGCACTGAAGATGCTTAACAGCTGATTTAATATATATTTATGTAAATAGAATACCCAAATCAGTAGCTCAAAAATATCAGTGAATTTATAATGTGAATGGCAATGTCCATGTCATCTTAAGGCCAATGCATTTCCACAAAGAAGCAGATGGTATATTTGGCTACAGCGTCTATGAAGTTCAGCCAGCTGGTTGGATATTATGTCATCCAATTCGATTCAAATTGAGGAAATGTGTCTTATGCTGCATAGACTATAATTTTAATCTCGGAGTATTGTTTCCAAAATTGTAGAATAAGTCTTTGTGCCAAATTTATTGTCATCAATATTCTCTATATATGCGTATTTAATTCCTTATACACAGTTCATTCTTAAAATATGTAACTGATCTTTTAGAAGAAACTATCTTTAGAATCAGTTTTTACATTGGCTTCAGTCAAATCCTTCAAGATTAAGGATTTTTCTTTGTTTTAGTATTACATTTAAATAATATATTCTTAAACTTTAATGGAAAACTTTAACAAATATCACTAGAGGGCAGCCTTTTACAATTTTCAGGAATGTTAATGAAATGACACACTATTTCAATGTATGTAGTTTATATTTTGCAAAAGTAACATGTAGATAACAAATTTCATTTTAAAGCTATTTTTCTGCTTTCTCTGCTACATATCTGACAATTCATTTAATAAAATCAATGATAGGTAACACCGGAATCAAGAAGGCCAATAGAGATGAATAACTTTCTCCTAAGATATGAACAGTATAAAAAGGAAGAAACATTTGTTCATCATCACTTCAAACAGGAAAAGCAATATCCTTCCTTATCACCACACCCAGTTATACAGAGAGCAGTCCACAAACTAGGAATGTTTCATCCAATCTAAAGGGCATGTCCAACATCACATTTTGACTCCTGCTGTGATGTCTGAAGAGATTCTACTGAACAATTCAATTTGAAATGTTACACCAGGATAGATCATAGATGATATTGCGTTTTTTTCCAGTGATATCTCAATTAATCTGTTCTCTGCTGTATTAATAGACATTGGCTTATAAACTAGCAGTTTTAAATGGCAAATGACTCAGAGTTTAGCACAAAGGAAGAAGGAGATAAAAAAAAGGTTATAAACAGGCAACCACTCCTGTGTGGTACATAGCTTCCCTATTATGTCCACCTAAGACTGCCAACTCCATTTGTATCTGGAAAGTCTCTTCTTCAAATGAAAGGATTCACATAACACCATGCACGCACACACACACACGCCAGTGGTGGGTTTCAACCGGTGTTACCACCAGTTCGCATCATGCACGCGCTTCGTGCATGCACACCAAACTTGCACTCTGCGCAAACGTAGTGTATAACAGAACAGCTGAGACATGTCAATCCGCTCTGCTGCGCCTTTCAGGTGGGCTAAAAACGACCAAATATAAGGTATGTATAACGCAGGGGCGGGCGGGAGGGCCAACATAACTATTAGAGAGAACCAGTTCGCTATCAAGTCACCATCGTCGCTACTGGCTCACTCGAACTGGGCCGAACTGGTAGAAACCCACCACTGACGCACGCGCGCGCACACCCACCCACACACACATACAACAGACACACACACTTATATACATATGCACACCAACCGCCCACTAGTAGCCATATTCCAAAATAAGGCTGGTGAGGAGAAATAGAAAGGAAATACAGTTAAAGAAGAAAACAAAACTGAGAGATATACTAATATGTGGGAAAAGGATAAGTGTAAAAAAAAGAGAAGCAAATCTGTTTAGACATTACAAAAAGGGTTAAAATTCATCAGATGAGCTGCCCTTCCAAATCACAGTCTAGGTTTATTTTTTAAGTGGTTAATTTAAATTTAAGTGGTTAATTTATTATGTCTTCAGCAATAGTTGTGGGAACATGATGGCTCACAAGATTAGGATCCTTGGCTGATGATCAGCAGGTTTACATTCGAGATCTGGTTGTTGCTGCAGGATGGGGTGAGCTCCTGTCACACACTCCAGCTTCTGCCAACCCAGTTGTTAGAAAGCGGGCGATTGTGAGTAGATAAATGGGTACCATGTCAATACCCAATTTAACGAGGATGTGAAAAGAGCTCCCAACTCTGCCTTCCCTGGGCAACTGTGATGACACCACTGAATCCTTTCAATCTGGAAGCATTTCAGCACTCCCAACACAGCTGTAGTAGTAGCAATGTTTGTACCTATTTGAACCCGTATGTTCTACCATTCCACTCCCCAACACACAGCTACTTATTTGAGAAAAAACTCTTATCTTCTAGGATAAGGAAGCTGGTAAGTCCTAACTGAGGAATTTGAAATTACATCACTGAACTGGTATTTCATCAGAGCTGATGACTGATACATGAATTCCTCACCTGCAAAACTGACAGTTGGCAGCTGACATGCATGCTCTGAGAATGCTACTAGACACAGCTTTTAAAGTACATGTAGTGTTACCTCTTAAACTTTCATTTCTATTAAAATATCAGCTAGAGAAGACTTCCCCATCCCAGCTGCTCTTACCACATAATAAAAAGGTTACTACAAGCACCTTTTGATTAATCATAGTAGGAGTCACTTATCAGGAAGGACACACAGAACATTTCAGATTAATAACACTACACCCAAACATGTGAACCAATTAAAATAGTACCTATGCCCCATTTAATTTTTTGGTGTGGCCTATGAGCTGTTATTTTAGAAAGCCAGGAGGAATAGATGTGATTGCAGGAGAAGGAACTGCTGAAACTTGAGCATTTCATACTGGAAAATATTTGAAAATCACTCGCAAATTTTTTTCTCCCTGAAATTGCCCTCCCCAAGAGAAAAAGTCATTGAAATATGAGCTATGGGTTAATATAGCAGTCTTCCATCAATTAATATTAAGCTATGCTGTTTAATCAATATTGAGTCCATAATGAGCTATTTGATGTGGACCAGAACTCTTTCCAGCTCTGATCACAGGCCATATTGGAGCTGATGATATAGTCCAACAACGCACATGGGGATCCATAGGTTCCTAGTCTTACCTGGAAAGGAATGAATGAACAATTTATTGTCTTCATTCATTTTTTTTTCTGTGAAAAAAAATGGTGAAAGGATCAATTAGTGGCATCACTGTTGCCCAGGGGAGTCCCAGTTGGGGACTCATTTCATGTCCCCATTAATGAATCCACCAAAGTGGTACCTACTCATGATTGCAAGCTTTCAAACTGTCAGGTTGGCAGGAGTTGCAGCTTCATTCATGATTCACACCCATATGAATCTCAACATTTACCGCCTTATAAATCTCAAAGCTCTTATGGATTCCTCTAAAACCGCAACCCTCCCACGTTCCTTCTACCCCTGCCACCTGTGACCAAGGCACCCATAGTTTTGCATGTGGTGCTTAAGGACTACAGATGTTCTTCCTGTCATCCAAGCACTTACACTCCAGCTTATCCTCAGCCCGTCCCCTTTCCAGCAGTGACAGGTAGCAGACAATGTCCTTCAGGTAGACTACCTGAGCCAAAGGGGCTGGTTGATGTGGACTGGCTGTTTTTAGGGAGATGTTACTCTTTCGGAGATTGAAAGGAAGTTTCTTGTCCAAACTTTTGGAACCTAAAAGGAAGAGAAAAGGATTCATGTTGTTTATGAAAAGTGTTCATGTTGTTTTGTAAGATGACATTCTTTAGATTATAATTCAAAACAGGTTCAGGCTGACTGTAAGGTGAAATTGATTTAGAGTTATAATGTGGATCTTAGATCAAAATTAATTTTGTGAACTAAGGGGCTGCAATAGATTCTGCATGGCAAATCAAGAATTAAGGTATGTTTTTCATTATACAATTGCATTGTGCTAACTGGTGTTTTTAAAAATCCAAACCTAAAACTCCAGTGAATAAGAAAGCATGATAGCCCAACGGGGGAGTTAGGCTGAGAAGGACTGTAAGCCACTGGCAAGAATGTGGTGGGAGGCAAGGAAGAGAAGCAGCATATGAAATAGAATGAGGAAAACAGGATAGGAAGAAGGATGTTTGCATGGAAGGGGGGAAGGAAAGGGAAGGAAATTGTTATCGTGTGAATTAACATTTTGTTACAGTATGCAATTTTGTGGACTACAGCTGATTAATATATTTATTAGATTGTATCCTGTACCTAAAAAGGAAGATGTGACTTGGAAGAAATAAGTATGGGTGAAGAAATTAGTACACCAGTAAATTCTAATCTTGCTTATTTACCCTTTACTCCCTGGCATAAACTAGTACTCTGGAAACATTGGGTCACCCAGTGACTTCCCCATCCCAGTTGCTCTTACCACGTAATAAAATATTTGAATGACAACAACTCAGAAGGAAGCAGCTCTTACACCACCCTTCTTACCAACCACACAAACATAAAAAAACATCATAAACTGCTGAATTCAGAATGCTTGGAATAAAAGTGCAGAGCTCAAGCAGCAGATAACATAATCCCAGTAAGATTACAGGTAGTCTTTGACTTGCAACATTTGTTTAGCAATCATTCAAAGTTATAATGACACTGAAAAAATGATTTATGACTGGTCCTTGCATTTATGACTACTGTAGCATCCCTGTGGTCATGTGATGAAAGTTTGGCAACAAGGATGCATTTACAACAGTTGCAGTGTCCTGGGCTCATATGATTGCCATTTGTAGCCTTCCTAGCCAGCTTCCGACAAGCAGTCAATGGGGGAATCCAGATTTGCTTAATGTTTGCATGATTCATTTAACAACTGTAGTGATTTACTTAACAACCATGGCAAAAAGGTCATAAAAATCAGTTATAACTCACTTAACTACTGCCTTGCTTAGCAATGAAAATTCTGGAAATTCCAGAAAGTGGTTGTAAATTGGGTGAAAATTCCTTCAAAATGATTGAGCCACATAGCAGATAAATGCACCTGGGTCTTTGAATCAGGGAGCACATTGGAAGTAATTTATTGGCCAATGTTGCAAATTTCTCTCGAAATCATTTTCTCAGTCTAATGTAGTTATTTCTGCTTCTTGAATCCTCACACAGGCCAAAAGTGCATCACCTCAGCTCACCTTCCACTTCAAGCTTCTTTACCAGATGTGTATCCCATGCTAGGATTTTGACCTGTGAAATGAATTTTATGGCTATATATGGGTGAGGCTGGAAAATATATAAGAATGCCTCCATAAACGAAAGGCAGATCTCACCTGGAGACTGTGGGGTAAGCAGAGAACCTGAGGAAATCTTGGAGGACCCTGAGGAGTTGTGAGCAGAAGGGTTACCAGCAGTGGATTTTTGTGATGATGATCTGGACCAGTTAGGTGAGGCATTCCCAAGAACATTGATGTTGGATGTTGGAACAGGACTGAGAGATGCTGATTGTGCCTCTGCTAGATTTGTCTGGAGGCGTTTGGATTCGGGTGTATGCTTTCCCATGGCACTTAGAAGAGTTTTCCCATTGATCCCTATAATTTAAAACAAAGTGATAAATCAGCCTTGATTTATGAATCATGAAATGAATCATAATGAAACATGATGTTTTCTATTAATTTTTTCCAAGATGGAGGCTTCCTTTCCATTTTAGACTATTATTTCCAAACCCATCATCTCAGCCAGCATGGCTCAGAACACTACCTTTGTGCCGCCCTTCTTGATGGTTGTATACATTCCCTTGGTGCCCCATATATAATTGGACCTTATTTTATGCAAGAAATTTTCACAGACATAGGATTTTCTTGTAAATCCTGAGACGTGAATAATTTAAGACACCAGGACTATACAGTAGGTGATCCCTGAAACTCTGTTTTACAGTTTATAGAGCATGAAAACAATAATATATACTTTAAAATAGATTTTACATAATTCATAAGACAAAAAAACCCCCTACATTCCCACCCACCCCCAATAATAAATCATGACTGTCTGTGGTTAAGGAATCAGGCTGGAAAACCAGGGGACTGTGAGTTCTAGCCCTGCATGAGAGCCGCTGGGTAACCTTGGGCCAGTCACTCTCTCTAAACTCCTCATCTCAGAGGGTTGTTGTTGTTGTGTGGAAAATAGGAGGAGGAAAGTGTGTTGGATATGCCTGCTGCCTTGAATTATTTATAAAAATAATAATGGCAGGATATAAATAAAATAATTAAAAAGGGTAGGCAGTTCCAGTCATCTAAGAGAAGCCTGCCAGTAATGAAGTGAAAAAAATATTTCTTAATCCTGATATGCTTAAATTATTTATTTAATACTTCATATAGATATTACATGAAAAACCTTTCATGGATGTTGAAATGATAAAAAATTATTCATTTTGTCAGAGGAAGCTGAAAACATAAAGTTGATGATCTTTTATTTCTTTTTCTGAGGAACTTATACTTTTCCGATGAATTTACTAATTTGTTTTTCTGATGAATTTACTTTTTCTGTACTGTACTTGGTGAACTTGCCATTTTCTGTACTGTATTTGCGTAAGCTCTTCATGGTAATAATTCTGCTCGCCTTTCCTACCTACCATATTGCCCACCAGACTCTCCTACCATTTCCCACCAGCGTGTCCATTTTAATCTAGTAATTTAGTAGAGAAGTAAATGGCGCATTAAGTATCTTGCTATAAGAAGGTTGTATGGAAACAGCTCAAATTCATCTTCATAAAGCTCATATTACTAATTATACAATCAATCCAGATTGCAAATTAGATTACATATTTCTTTAAAAATACTAATCTCTTGATTCTTGATTCCTATGTTTCATCTGATTATCTTCTGCATTTAACTAGAATGGTAGTGGAGATATCACAAAATCAGAAACATAGCACTGAAAAAAGGATATCGCTACATAGCAACTGTTTCCTGGCAAGGGATAAGGATTAGAAAAGCCAGACCACTCTGAAATAATGGGAGATCTCTTGGCACCCAAGGATTGTTTGCTTAACATGTTTACTTAGCTGCTGTTGTATGTTTCTGTGCAGGATTCCAGAGACTGGTAGTCCCTAGCTTTTTATTTGTTTTTACAGCATAAAGTGACAACCAAGTGTTGGAACTAATGTTGAATAGAACTCAGCCTGTTGGTGCCCATAAAGCTCCTTATTAAACATGAAAGATTGTGCAGCTCTTAAAGCATTTACATTGGATACCTGTAACAGGAGCACAAGCAACTTCTGTCTGGATGGATATACCTGTATCAAGAGTCTTGGATTCTGAATACATGAAAAAAACATAAGAATATACACATACTTTAGCAATGGGCACTTGCCATCAACTGATCAGTATTCATTGCAAATTTGCAATAGCAATTGCACAGTTTACTTTTATTTCACAAAAGGCTAATAAATATTTAGGCAGAATACTGAGTTGCAGGTATATACTATCTTGGTTTAGTCTTACAAATACTGCTGCAGAAACAATTTCAGCCCCAATCAACTGTAGGGAAGCATAATTCAGTGCATTATGAGGCAAAGCAGAACACTGCTCCTTGCTCCTTAGCTGGGCATAGCAGCTGACAACTGTATGTGGAGAGACCTTTATCTAGCCTGGTTTGGCCCCATCATGGGGATAGCAGTAGGAGCATTTGGGAAAGTGATGACAGGGATGGGCTCATGATATTTGTCAAGGCAAAGGAGTTCACATGTAACAGCTACTCTTCTTCATAACTCCTGATAGAACTGAGATTCTATATGTAGAGGGATGCGGGGCGGGAAAAAATGAATAGATGGCTGTTTTTGTTTTGATTCCCTTTTCCTCTTCCTGTCAAACTCCTCAGCTTGGTTCAGGGCTTCCTCAAACTTTCTTGTTTTTTCCCTATCCAGAAAGTATCTTTCAATGTGCATAGCATGCTTTTCCTGAGCACAGCAACACCATCAGCCTTACTTGCCAATGTGTAGTAAAAGAAATCCTGAGACAGCCATTTTAAGACCAACATCAACACGGCTGTGCAGTTGAGCCACAATGGTTGTTTAAAAGAATTTAAGAGCAGTCACAAGTAGTCATTTGCATTCAGGTCCATTTATCCTTCTACTCCCCCTTCAGTAGATCAGTGAAGCCTTCCTTCCCAACAGACACTATTAAAAGCACATCTCCTTTTGGGTTGCCACAAACTACCTTCCATACTCCATATATTTTAAAAACAGATCTAGTTGATAAAAAGCATTATTTAGAGAAACATGTGGAATGAATGAATACTTCCACACACAAGAATATACACACACACCTTCCCTTTTATATGAACACTAAAAAGGAGTTCATTAAAACAAAATCAAAGATATGTGGCTCTCAAATCAAGCCCCTGCATCTAAACCTAAATATGTGATAACATGATTATTGAATCATTTGTTCAGTTCACAATTCAAATCACTTTAATTTAACTTGCCATTGCACAGCTACAGAAAAGATAGTCCATGGATGCTGAATATGGATGTTATCTATGAAAAGATTTTTGGGATGAAAAAAAAAATTAGGGGAGAAACACAGCCCAATGAGGATTAAGGTCCATAGAATGCCCATTTCATAAGTGGAAATTCAAAGAAAGTAAATAGAATAGAATATCCTAGAATGGGCATAACAGGACCCTAAGCAGAAGATAGTAAACAGTGCATCATTTAGTGGCAGGCCATGTTTACTCTTTTAGGGAAACAAATCTGCCCAGAAAGACACCTCAAAATATTCCAGTATTAGTCATTTCCACACGTGTGAGAATTCAAGCAGCAAAGAAAACATATAGCTTACCAAGGTTGCTCAGCTGTGAAATACTGGAATTTTGCTGCTGGTTCTCGAGAGAACATTGGCCAACTTTTCTTTTGAAGGACATGAAGAGGTGCTCACAGAGCTCTTCTGGAATATCCACCTCCAGATATGTTCTCATAAACAGCTGGAATCCCTCATAGTCAATAGGCTAACAGGAAGGAGGGAAGTAAAAGACACAAGTGTTTTTTTTAAAAAATAATTTTTAAACGTTAGAAATCTTACCATTACATTTCCTCCCCATTTTAAATTGAGGCTCTCAATTGAGGAGCTAGACGAAGGAAGCGTAGAAGAAGAAAAAATCACGGAAGAAATAAATAAATACAATTGTTAAGGTAGTAATTTATACATGGTGAAAATAGATCAAGAACTTTGTCATTAGACAGTGTAGGTGGGTCAAAAAGCTGTTGGGAAAGGTATCTGGAATAAAGCATGGAATTATATCTGATCAATGCAATTTTTAATCTCCTGGATTTGAGGGTTAACTTGGACAAAGGTTCTCCTTGTTATTTGAAAAGCCATTTAGACACTATTGCCTTATGAATCAGTTGGCATTTAAAATATGCTGTATACACACACCAAACACACACACATTGGAGACCAGTTGGTGGTGTTCTTTGAGCACTGAGTTTCACAGGTCTGAAGAAAGAAAGAAAAAAAATGCATTTAAATTTTAAGAAAATAATTTTATGCACAGAACATTGAGGCCTATCTGGTGTTTTTTGGGCAAAGCCCATGGATCATGAAATTCATCTACAGGTATTCATTAGAGCTGCAGCTTACCTGCATACTGATACACACCTAGTAATCTCTTTCCCATGTGCTATAATGCATGTAATTAACATTATATTTCAGGAATACAAAGTATATTACAGTATGCCACAAGGAAGCACAGTAATACATTTCTTACATGCATATTGAAATCAAGGTTACATGCATATATGCAGAACAACAGTAGCAGTAGTGAAGGTAGAACCTCAATCAGCAACACAACTAAAGTTCTTTGAGCATCACCACAAAAGGCAAAGCATTCAGCATAAGCTTTTGGAAGTAATCCTGACAAATGTATTGAAATTTTCTTGGTGACATTGGTAGAATGGGCTTGGCTGAAGAAGTATTTGATCTTAGTCCAAGAGGACACAAACACACACTTATTTCAGATTTACCCAGTTCTGTTCATTCTCCTGCTTGCCATCTGGCAAACAAGCAGACTTTGTCCACATTTAATTGCTGGGACTCTTGAGAGCTTTCCACTATGCTGAACTCTGAGGTAGCTGATGGAAGACAGACAGTGGTTAACAGGAAACTCACAATTTTCATAGTGACTTTATAATAAAAGTTGCTTAAAAACAAGTGGGGCAGACATAAGTGAGGAAGCCAAAGGGATCAAAGGCAACAGAACTGCCAAAAACTTGCTCCGGCAAGCTCTTAGCTTTGCATTCTGTGAATTATTAGCAGTAATTTATAATTCTGCAGCAAGCCTATTGTATTCCCTGCAATGTTTAATCTAACTTATTAACAACAGTTAACAAGCCTTGCTGTCACTACTCTATTCAAATAACTGGACTGATATGCTATATGCCCATGATGGCAAACCTATGGCATGCGTGCCAGATATGGCATGAAGAGCCCGTTCTGTGGGCACGCATGCTATTGCCCTAGCCCAGCTCCAATCACATTTCTCCATCATGTTTCACTCATTCAATTCCAACTTCTCGTGAAAGAAAAAGATCTCACAAAGTTGGAGTTGATTGACTGAACTTTTTCACTCACACACTTCACAATGGGGGAGGTGGGGTCCCCTCCTCTTCCTGAAGCCCATTAAAACGTGGAGCCACAATGAGATCCATGCGGTTCTTTCACCCCTCTGCTGCAGCTCCCTGTTACCCTGTTGCGACAGAGAGATGAACCCTGTCACCCTGTCATGGCAGTGGCGATGGGCGGAGCTTTCTTCCTTAACTTCATTTTAAGGGGAGCGGGAGGCAAGAAGGGACAATAGTAGCTAAAAGGCTGCAAGGGGGGCGGGTTAGGGTTAGGATTTATTAAAGATGGGGATGGGGAAAAGATGCCATTCGTTTCCCAAGGACCCAGGCAGGGGTGAAATCCAGCAGGTTCTGGAGAACCGGTAGTGGAAATTTTGAGTAGTTTGGAGAACCAGCAAATACCATCACTGGCTGGCCCCAGAGTGGGGTGGGAATGGAGATTTTGCAATATCCTGCCCCTGCCACACCCACCAAGCCATGCCCACAGAACCGGTAGGGAAAATTTTTGAATTTTACCCCTGGACCCAGGGAAAGTGGAATAAAAATGTGTGTGTGTGTGTGTGTGTGTGTGTGTGTGTGTGTGTGTGTGTAAATAACAGCCTGGAAAAGCTTCAGCCACAAACAACAGCTGCTGTTATTTTTGCTGAGAGCTTCTAAGCTACACAGCATTCTTTAATAAATACTAACAATAACAAACCATAATATACAAGATTAAAGGAAGGAAGGAAGGGAGGAAGGGAGGGAGGAAGGGAGGAAGGAAGGAGAAAGAAGGAAGGAAGGAAAAAGAAGGAAGGAAGGAAAAAGAAGGAAGGAAGGAATAAGGATGTGATGGCCCTCCAGAGGCTACTGCACTACACTCCCATCATTCCTGAGTTGTGCTGTTAAAGAAATCCAGTGCCACCAGGGAGAAGTCATGTTGTGAAAGAATTAGTTTAGTTTAGTTTTAGTTTTATTTGATTTGTATACCGCCCTACTCATGAAGGACTCAGGGCGGTGAAAAGCCACAGGATAAAAAACATAAATACAAAATTTAAAACTGAATAAAATTGAATTAAACAATTTGGCTGAAATTTCAATCAAAGAATGATTGAAATTCCTCACAAAACCTCATTATTCAGGTTAAATTGCCATGTTGACACTTTGTGATAAATAAGTGGGTTTGGGGTTGCAGTTTGGGCACTCGGTCCCTAAAAGTTTCGCCATCACTGCTATATGCTATGATATCCTATAACACTGCAAAAAAAATTCCACTGACTCTTTATTTTCCTTGTCAATTAACTTGTTCCCAAAAAGTTTTCAGATAAAACAACACAACATTCTTTTTCATTATTTGTGGCTTTGGTGAATGGGGAACAAGTCAGACCCAATGCTATGATTCATGGAATACAGCTTGGAGCATCTTTACCAGCCTTGACTTTTCCCATGACAATATATTCCATTCTATTTCAAATAGATATTTTTCTGCTATTTCTTTCTGCAGTATTTTATGGCTACAGTAGGTTCATTTTAGTTGGGCTGTTTCAAATTGTAAGGATTAGATTTCTTTTTCTCCCTAAAGATTTATCGCTCTCCAGGATAAGCAATTTTGTTTAGTTTTTTCTGTTTGATAATGTGCGGATTTAATTATCTTATCATAAATATAAACTTACATAATTAAGGGAAATCTTAATTTATGCCAAAGCAACCATACAAAGCAACAAATAGCACAACACATGAGAGCCTGAGTTGGAAAAGAAGTCTTACTTGGTTCAAAGTGTCTTGCTTCTGAGGGAATAAAGAGCAGAGAAAGACAAAGCAAAGTTGAGTGAAGAAGCATTGAAAAGTAGCTACTCCATTGGACAAAGACAATTCAAGCATCCATGAAGGATTAGACTGCAGTTCTTCCTCAAGTGCTCCACCATAGAAGGCACATGGAATGTATGGAAGCATACATTGTTCTGAAGTATCCCTATTTCAAACTTCACCATCAGATGAAAAGACATGTTCTATTCAGAAGATTTTGGATGAGATCTTTGGCTTGGGAAATTTGCAAATAGTTGATAGGTAGCAAAAAAGTTCTGAAAGGAAGAGCTTTCTGTTCAAAGGATTTAATGAAGTGTGTGTGTGTGTCTGTCTATCTGTCTGTCATATTTGTATCTAGGACTTCTACCAAAGAGCTTTGTACAGAATATAGATTATCTATGTTTATTCTCATTAACAACTGTCTGAGTTTAATTAGGGTTGGTAAGAGAATGTGCTGCCTAAGGCTGTTTTTCTGATGAGGCAAAGAACAACACAGAGTACCTTTCTTTATTCCAGACTAACACCTAGATCTGATGTGAGGTGAGAGGAAAGAATTTTAACTGGAACTGAGGGAAACAGGTTAAATTATATGGTGGAAGGCAGGTTGTAAGCACCTCATGGACCTTGCCATTGTTCCCTGCCCCTCATTATTTGCCATCAAACACATCTTTCTTATTCTGCCTATAGAATTGGATCTGCAGTAAACTGTGAAGTCTTTCATGAGGTTATTCAGGATGGGAAGTCCAGTAGGGTTTATTCCCAGGATTGCAATATAAATGAGTATTAGATTTTTACAATATAGAATAGTTTACAATATTTTTAAAATGTTTACAATATTGCTCTAACTCCTACATTGTCCAGCCTATAACACTAACATACTGTATTGTTAGTTGTGTAACTAGTAGAACTATCTTCTGGTTCAACATGTGGCAGAACACCTTTGCTTTAAATAATTAAGTGCAACAAGGAATACTCTAAGCAATATTTCACTAAATTACATTGAAAACTATTTTTTATCAAAATGAAACAATTTATCAGATATACTACCTACAGCAACTTATTCTTGGACCTAGTGATTTCTTTAGAACAGATAGTATCAACTGATGCAAATATAAATAGTTTACTGTTAGTTTCTATTACCACACAAAATAAATCAATTAAATTAATAAATCTACCCAGTGATGGGGAGAAGGGACCTTATCCCTTCATAGAGAAATTACTGAACACAAATTACAGAACTGTCTTAATATTTTTGAGTTGAGAAATTTAGATAAGATATTTGATGTGTGATTTTACTGATAGGGTTTTTAAGATATTTCTTTTTGGATCTGCATAATTGATTAAGGCCTCCAATAGAAAAATGATAGAAAAATGAGGATGATAACTGTTCCTTCCCCTTCACTTCCCTGAATTCAGTTTAATCTAAAACAGTTAACAGTTCAAATTTACTAAACAGTTGTAGTTTACATGATTTTCATTTAAACTTTTTTGGGACTTGTATTTCCTGTCATGATCTATGGTAAAAGCAGGTTGGAATGAATGGAACAGGTAGCTAAGAATACTTTTATTTTGCCGGGGACTTTCATATGATTTTTGTTGTTATTTATTGAGTTGAGTCTCCAATCTTTATTGTTGTGTTGCTTGGTATCAGATGAATATTTTAGATATTAATTGCCCTTTTAACTGTGTTGGCTTCAAGTATTTAAATGGACTCTAAAAGTTGTTTTTTAACATCTTCATTATATAGTTTAGAAAAGACAGTACAATTGGCTTCATACAAAGTAGAGATAAATTTATTTGGGCTGTTGGTATTGTGAATTTATATAAGCTTTCTTTACACAATATTAGTTTGGCCTAGTGGATAAGGCAGCAAGCTAGAAGCTGAGAGACTGTTGAGTTTTACTCCTGCCTTAGGCATGAAATCTGGCTGGGTGACTTTGGGCCAGTCACTCTCTCTCAACCCAACTCACCTCACAGGGTTATTGTTATGAGGGAAAATAGGAGAAGGAAGGAGTATTTATGTATATTCGTTGCCTTGGGTTGTTTATAAAAATAATAAAGATGGGATTAAAACAATAAATCAATAAATCACTTTGTTCTGCAAGTTGCTTTCCTCAAACTGGCTCAAAATCAAAAGTTCCAGATTTGTATTGAGTTAGGTAAGCGTTTGAAAATTCAACAAGAAATATCACTGAAAGTACAAATACGTACTAATATATTTGGTATATGTGGAAACGCCTAAAAATAATACAATTGAACAAAAACGCTTGTGCAGTTAAAAATAAAAAGCAATTGAAAATAAAATAATAGATTGCATCTAAAGCTGGAAAAGATAACTGCCCCCAAAAAGTTAAAAAGATTTTGCTATTTGGTCCAGGACTGTATGTGTAATCTTAGAGGAAAAAGATACTTTTGGGTGTATCTATACTGACTCATTTTGCACTCAAAAGTTTACAATCAATTCTACTTCAGAGGCAGCCACAATGTGATTACTGTGACAGGTAATCTGCTATCTGAAACAATGTTTTAATTTGCCTGTCAACAATGATGGCATTCCTTCAAAAAAAACTATCTTGTTTTGGCTTTCCTTAAATGAAAAAGGAAGCTGGACTGAATCAGTATAATTCTGGGCAGTGGATTACTCCTCCCTCCCACTGTAATGTTATTACTAAGGGATAGTGAGGGGAGGATGATTAAACAAATAAAAAGTATATGTAACAAAGGACCTCCATGAAAATATCTCCTTTCTCTTTCTATATTCCTTTTTGGTCCACTTCCTCCACATCCTCTCCAGAAAAGCAAATCCAGGTTCAAAGGATTTTAAAGGCAATTAGTTGTTATACCCAATGGCAAATGCAACCGTATTTCCAAGTGGATAGTAATGAAGTATAGTTACCTCAACTGCTTAGTGCAGAAGAGAAACCACAGCATGTGCTCGTGGCAGAAAGCAGAACATCCAACTTCTAGCCACCCAAAAACATTATCCTGCTTGCTTCCAAGAGCCTAACAACTACTTTTCTAAATAGGAATGTGGTTGCAATTTGTGCTGGGTTTTTTGTGGACTTGTCTTTCTAATTACTCTAGGTGTCAAAAATTTTCTCACAGATAATTTGTCCTCATTTCCCATTTAATTTAATAATATTCAGTTCTGGACTAATTTGTCTTCATGAATAGCTCTGCAGCTTTCTTCCTTTTCTTACCTGGAAACAACTCATTGTTGTTTTTGCTAATTTCCTTTTCCTACAGCAATGAAGATATAGTTCATTTTGTCATGTTTAGTAACCCCCCTTTTTTCCTCTTAGTAAAAACAGCAACATGACAGAATCATCCTCATGCTTTTCTCAACTTCTCAACTTTTACTCCCACCACCAAGTTAAGTTCTAAGTGCCATTTTGAAAAAGTAAGTAATAATAGTTCAATATATCAAATATAAGGGGGAGGGGAGACTAAACCTAGGGCATAAACTAATGATACAATACTCAAATTTAATATTTATTCATTAAGTTGTAGTTCACTTCTATATATCTTTAGAAAACAGTGAGAATAACTTTTAAGATGTTGTAAATGACATGCATTTTGACTAGATGATTTTATGAAATATTCCTATATTGCCTAGGCTTCTCCATCCTGAACATTTAAGAGTCAGTAATGATTCTAAAAAAATAAATGCGACTTTAAAAATCACCTTACTAAAAGGCAACTACTTGATTTCCAATTTCCAAGTAGAACAGTTAAAACTCAGTTGCATCATCCAATAGCAGAATGTTAGGATTTGTTTTTCACTAAATCCAGTAGAGCTAATTTATAAGGAGAGATGGACTGCAGATCTTCAGAAATCCTTATTTATTTATTACTAGGATTTTTATGCTGCTCTACTCTCATGGCCTGTGAGCAGCTTACATTCCTCCTCCACATAAGAAGATTAAAACAAATCAATATTATATCCAATATTATACTATGATTAGAACAGCCTTAGAAGCAGATGAACTGCACCAATATAGTAACCAGAAAAGGAGGATCTTGCAACTTATTACAAATATTTCTTGAATGTTCTCTAGAATAGTTTTATAGTTTTCTGGAAAATCAACAGTGTGGATGCCAGTCTGATCTTGGCTTTTGATTTTCATTAATATTTGAGAGAATTTTCATACAAAAATGAATTACCTTTCAAACCTTTCTCACTACCCCAGGCATGATGCCAAATGTATCTTTCCTTAGCAAAAATCTTGTAATTAAAAAGAACTTAAGCTAAGCAGTGGTGAATGTTTGCACTCTGGCTCCCTGTGTAGGGAGGAGGTTTTATCTTTCCATTTCCCATTCAGCAATTTAAAAAAAATCACTTCCCAGAAGTTACTATTAATCTCACAAGAAAAACTTTCCTTCTTTTGTATTATGGTGCTAATAAAAATCACTTTATCTACTCACACCTCTTTTAAAAACTGATGTGACAGATTAAAAGGCATATTTAGGGAAACATATTGTTCGGTTGGTTTAGGGTCTGAATAATTAAAAAAGCTTACAAAAGATTCAATAACCATTTTATCCTAAAAATGTTATTAAGATCTTTTGGGAATTTTGTACATAGAAATCTACACAGCTAGTTTATTTTGTCAATAGGCATTTATGAATACAGTTAATGCAAGTTTCCTTACTTGTTCTGGATTATATTTTGACAGAATACCATCCCCATGAAACTCTTCCAAAACATCTCTCAATTTCTTGGTAGAATCTAGAAAGTGAAAGACAGCCAGTAAGATTAAGAGCAGCCTATTTCCAAACAAGTTCTTCATAACCGGGTAAGGAATGATTGTACAGAATAATAGCAACGCCTTGAATAGTAAAATATTCTGCTTTCTTTTAAATGGTTTAAATTGCATTAATAAATGTGAGAGCTATTTTCCTAATCTCAGAGCCATCTTGTAATACATACATCACATTGCAAATACAAATGTTGGACCATGTTATTGTGTGCAGGATAAAAAACCTGCTTTCTTTATGCAATTTGTATGCCAGTCTTACAGCCACTAAAATCTAGTAGTTAGAACCATTATAAGTTTTTTTTTTTTGCAGAAAGCATTTCCAATTTTTGCAGGGGAAGGGAATCTTCATACAAGCTACATAATGATTCCCATCGGTATTATCAGCTTGATAAAGCATTAGAATAAAAGTAAAGAAAGACAAGTTCTAGCCATTGAATTTTGATTGGATGATCTCAGACTAATATATTTCAGCCTCCTGATAGAACTGCTGTGAAGATAGAATAGTGATTGAAAGCACTATTTTTCCCTCCTCTGTCTGACATAAAATGCTGTTAAGAAGCTCCATCTCTGCATGGGGTATTTAGAATGATTGAAAGTATCATAAAGGGAGAAAAGCAGAGGGGAATATGTAGTATTAAATACATAACATGAAGAGACAGCACCTCTGCTGAGTGAGTGATCCTCAGGATGCACTATGTCAGATCATGTTTTTCATATCTACAGGAGAAGATATAGGAAGAAGATTCTGGCCTAAATCCAAGATATTATGCAGATTGAGGCAAAACTGCAAATGGGGCTTTTCATCAATCCCAGTCATTTATTTTATTAATTTTTAAAATTTGTTTGCCACCTATCTTGCTGCAAGAGTGTGCTATTTAAGCTAGCCAAGTCAGTACATGAGGTAGAAAAATTGGTTTGTAAGCTGCCTAGAGTTTGACTTTATGATGGTGGCTATGCACCTGTTTTAAATAAACAAACAACAACAAGAACCTTAGTTTGTTGCCCTTTCACAAGTTTCTTGCCTGAGAAACTACTCTACCTCATGATTCAGCTCCCCTTGGCTGCTGATACCCTGAAGCCAACAATGCCTTGGAGCTAGCATTAATGGCATCTTGGGTCATTTAATTTAATATATAAGGAGAAAATGATCAAAAGACCTAGAATTGCTATTTCTATGTATTTCAGAAATTATAACCAATTTTGAAGGACTCTGGGTAATATGCAGTAAAAAGAAAAACAAGCAAGATAGGCATATAATTCCTAGCAGAAGCCAAGATACACGTCCTCAATCAATCAATCAGATGGAGTCAAAGACTTGCTGAAATAAGACAAGTTTAATTAATTTTTGGAACAGGCAAAATACGAGCCATATATACCTAACAGCAAAGAGTATTCCAGAATGTGAGGGCAACCACAGAGAAAAGCAGTTGTCTTATCCATGCCACATGTACTTTGCAATGGAGGGAAGACTTTTAATGGCCTTCTCTAAATGACTGGATTGGTCTATTTTAAAATTCATTAAGAGCCATGGTGGTGCAATGGTTAGAGTGCAGTACTGCAGGCTGATCACTGGCTGCCAGCAGTTTGGAAGATCGAATCTCACCAGGCTCAAGGTTGACTCAGCCTTCCATTCTTCCGAGGTGGGTAAAACGAGGACCCAAATTGTTGGGGGAAATATGCTGACTTGGTAAACTGCTTAGAGAGGGCTGTAAAGCACTGTGAAATGGTATATAAGTCTAAGTGCTATTGCTATTCATCTTTTTTCAGGAAATGATACTTGATTATTTAAGAAAGATGGCTTTCCATTCTTTGTATTGAAGATGTAAACAGATTTGAAGGATTTTAACATATATGATTTGGATCTATGAACTTTTGATGGCTCATTTTAGCTCAGTATTTATATTTTTATTAATATAGAATTTGAACATTTATGAACAGTCTTGGATATATTAGACTTTTCACTTTAGGTGTTGCAAATATACTTCTGGGGAAAAAGAGAACCCTAAATAAATATGTTCACTTTCAACCCTGACCTGGCTCTTCACTGAGTCAATGAAAGGATTAATATATTTCTGCCTTATCAAAATTTAATCAGTGGTTTTATAGTGCTTCATAAAAAAGAGAAAAAGAAGATATTTTTCTTTTTTTCTCAGATATATATCAACGTATCTTTTCCCATTTAATTTGCTTTTTACTTATAGTAAATAAAACAATACAAAATTAAAAATATGATTTGAAAATGGCACAGTTGTAGAAAAATTACACAGCATGTTATTCTCGAATCTATTTCCTTACCTCTACTGCTATTGCTATTGCAAAATAAATCTCAGAACAGATGTAAAAGAGGCAGAATGGAGGCAACTTTGTTTTTTGGTGGCAAAAAAGACAAGTGTTTAAGTATCACATTTCTTCCATGTGGTTGGGCTAAGATATTAATGGTTATATTCTATTCCTTTCAATTTTTTAATACTTAATGTCATGCCAACTTTCTATCTGCAAGGATTATAGCCTGTTTCTGTAGTGTGACAATAAATTAGACTTCTTACATGGGCTAATTCACAAGGACAAGGTTTGTTTACTTTAGGCTTAGCATGATATATGAACCAACCCATTATAACATTATGAGTAAACCATGCCACTGTAAGTTGTACAGCAAGCAGAGTCTTAAAGTGGCATGGTTTACTCATAGTATTATAATGTGTGGGTTTGTACCTTGGTTTATGTCACAGAATTAATATAACACAGTATGATAGTATCTCTTTTTAACTCTACCATCAGCTATATTTAAGAAGAATTCTTCCATAAAATGTCTGAATGGAAGCCATTGTTCTCTGCTTCTTAATCCTCCTTAGTGAGCTTTCAGAACTCCAGGAATTGAAATATCCCAGCAGTCTCACAGTTCAACTGCTCTGGATTAAGAAATTGGTCCCAAAGGATAAAATAGAATGAAAAACCACAGGGAAATGATTAAAAGAAAGAGACTGCTTTGAGATGTCTACAGAGGCTTCTATATATAAACTATAGGGATTGCTCAAGATCCCATGTCTTCAGGGGTAATGAATTTTGTGATGTTTAGGCTAGAGTCTCTGAAAGATTAAATTCATGGTGATAAGTCAGTGGGAACATTCTTTTCTGTACATTCTCAGCACTTAAACTTCACACTGATCTTCCCAAATGGGAATGTAGGATTCAGTTTTAGCTATACTGGCTGGAGGTCATGTAGTTGAAATCCAATGAATCTGTAGAGCACAGTTGTGGAAGGTTATCTTATGTAGTTCCATGTAAAATATGTCTTTGAATGCGCCTGTGTGTGTATGTATATAATGCTGCTACTTGTATGGATATACAGAAGAGTTGAGTGAGTTCCATAAACTTTAGACATATAAATATTTTTAACAACTCTTCTTCTCTTCTTCTCCACTGCCAATCTTTATGATAATCTTTTCTTAATGTGTTCTCTGAATGATATTTCTTCTTCCACTTACATTGCTGACACTTTGACACCAGCCAAGTGCATTGCTTTTCTTCCCTTAGATCGGGGCTGTCAAACTCGTGGCCCAGGGCTGGATGCGTCATGTGCTGGCCACGCCCATGCCCAGATTAGCGAAGGGAAAAAAAAGTCCCGATACGTCACTTGATGCTGCTGTGATGATGCGAGTTTGACATCCCTGCCTTAGATCAACAGCAGCCCAAATTCATGCTTTTACTAAGGAAAGATCCAGAATTTAATAAGACTTTCTTACACAGCCAGTGACATCACCATCCATAATTGAATAAGGAAGTAGTGAGTGATAAGTTACATCAGCTTCTCCAGTCTGCCTTGATTCTAAATAAGCCTAAGTAATCAAGGTCTCCCTTCCTCTCTCCTCTTTCTCCTCTCTCCTGCCTCCCCATCTCCCCTTTCCTTTCTTCTTCTTCTTTGTGAAGTCCCTGCCCTACTAGAGAAGATATGGCTACTTCCTAGAGACTTCGGTCCCATGCAGTGAGAGCTGAAGTTTACGTCCCCAGATTTATAGACTTTAGAGTTATATACTGTAGTTTTGCAGGGGCATCTAAACCACTGAATTCAACCACTTGCTCAATGCAGGAACCCACATTAAAGCCATCATGATAGTTGGCTTAGATACATCCTGTGAAGATGAGCCTATCATCGTATTATAATGAGTGGTTTTGTACCTTGGTTTATGTCACCTTTCTGAATAATGAGTTCTGCTGACAAATTGAAAACTTGCTTTTATTGTTCAGATTTTTGAAACAATAATTTAATTATTCTGAGTCCTGCATTCTGAGATGATGACAGGCTAGGTCTCTATGTTGTTCTGTTGACAGCCTTTCAGGTATATAAAGACTGCTTCCTCTCAATCTTTTCTTCTCCAGGCTAAAGATTCTCTGTTCCTTCAGTCTGTCACTGTAGAAGATTTGGTTTCTAAGTTTCCTGTTCACCCTTGTTGCCTTTCTCTGCATCATTTTTAATTTCTGTAGATTTCCCTAGAATTTCTCTTCTTAGCATGATGCGCAGAAATGAATACATCCTCAAAATAAGATTTGACCTAAGCAGAACAAAATGGAACAATTACTTCCTGTAATTCCCTAGATGCTATATTCTCCCATACCTAAATTTTACAAATTGCATTTCCTTTTTAATAGCCAAATTACTTTGCTTACTCAATTTGTGATCAACTGTTATTCCGTGACACTTTTTAAAGTACTTCTGTCAAGCCAAGTATCCTCTATTTATGTTTGTGAACCTGAGTTTGGTTTCCTAAGTAAATAACTTTGCATTCTCACTGTTAAATTTTGTTCTTTTATTTTCAGGACATTTTTCTAACCTATCAATATTATGTTTAATTTTATTTCATGTCTTCTAAGAGATTAGCTGTATCATCAGTTTTGCTTCATCTGCAAATCTATAACCATACCCTCCATCTCCTGATCCAAGTCATTAATAAAAAAATCGTGTTTACAGTCTGGGATTTCTCAAAAATAACACTTAAAGAACTGGCCAGACCATCAGTAAGCTCCTTCATATTCTGGTATGCAATCTGGACCTCAAAATTAGACTCATTTAGAATAGAGATTGTTCCCAACAAACTCAAGATTCAATCCTGTTTCTTCACCCTGTTTTTCACAATTCCTTGATGAAATACATACTTTGTTATTAGAGGAGACAAAACTAACAGGATCTGAGTAGTTTTGCCTCACCTGCTAGCATTTTGCCATCATCACTGAGCAACTGATATAGATATCCTACAAGACTAATTCATATTATTCAGTCAAGAGTTGCATTGTAGTCAAATACTGTTTTACTATGCCCTTCCTAATTATGAAAGCAACACCATTTGTTCTTTGTTTTTCACGTCCTGAGTAGTAAACCGTATGATCTTCTGCCTGTCCAATTCCAGTATATCTCAATTTGCTGTTGCCAAAAATGTCAATGTGTCATCAATTCATTTCATTTTTCCTTGTGTTGGTTTTTCCATTTTCATGCTTCATACATTCCATGTAACAATGTCTTTGAATCTTTGCATTTTTTAATTTTTTTCTAAATTTCAAAACTGTTTTTTCTTTTTCCTCATGACAACATTAGCAACTTAAAGTCTTGAAGGCATTAGTTTAGCCATATCATAAACTACATGAGTACTTCAAAACATCCTCAGCTACATCTCAGTAGCTTGTTGAGCACTATTTAACCAGATCATCCAGCACCACATTGTCAACCATTTAATATTTTTTATCTATGTGGTTTTCTTTGGAGAGATTTACCATTGTCTTCTGTGCAGGATGAAATGATGCCTTGGTCTTTGTTACTAAGATGTTCTTTTACCCCTAGCATCTTCTTTATTACAATTAAACAAGGGTAACTGCTCCTCTTGTGCCTTTCTCTGACTTCAGCAAGGCAAATCAGAAATTTATTTATTTATTTATTTATTTATTTATTTATTTATTTATTTATTGGTTCGATTTATATGCTTCCCTTCTCCGGAGACTCAGGGTGGCTTACAATGCGTTAAGCAATAGCCTTCATACTTTTGTACTATATATACCTGCTTAGTAAGGCTTTCAGGCCCCCCTAAGCGGTGTTCTTTTTTATACAAAGTCAGTTTATTGCCCCCACAATCCAGGTCCTCATTCCCTGGTAGGATGGTGCTTGGCAGAATTCATCTCCCAAAGGATGCTGAGTTAAAGTTTCCATTACTACTGTTTCATATTCTTTTGAAAATTCTGCAATTATGTTTTGGAAAACCACCCACACCTTCCCTGTGTCTATGTGAACTTTAATAGACATCAAACACAGTATTATTTTTATTCATTCCTTCACATATAGTTTCTACAATCAAATTCATTCCCTTGGATTTCTGAATAGGAAACCCACTCCTCCCTTTCTTTTGCTTCTGCCTGTTTTGAACAAATTATGTGCTTAGATTATTATATCCCAGTCATGAGAACCATCCTACTATGTGTCTGTTATTCCTATGAATTAATTTCTGGTTTATTCTGATATATTTATTTAACAATTTATAAAACCCACCCATCTCAGCAAGTGACTCTAGGTAGTAAACCAACAGAATAAAAGCAATTAATGGATACAAAAATTAAATACAAAATTAAAAACCCATTGCAGACAAGAAAACCAGCATAGTCAACAGCACAAACATAGCCAGGACATGGGTGCTTTCACATTATTTGGGGCCCAAGCCTAAGCACAGAACTAGGTCTTTAGAACCTAATAAAAAGCCAGCAGGGTTGGGACCATCCAAATCTCCTACATGAGAATACTAAGAGTTGAAGCTCACCTTGTTTATTTCCCAGTCTGAGGATTAATTTGTAGACAATGAAGGCCAATAACTTTATAAGCCGATGGTCTGATCCCTCCCCCCTCCCCCGCTGAATAGTTAACAAGTCCTGTTACAGTACCTGTCCCTTCTATGATGCACAAGTCTTTATCTAAACAACTTGGTTCAAGCTTGGAGGGAGAAATTTGTTAGCAATTTCCCAGGAAACTCTCTTGCTGCCACCCCACTCCAAACAGTTTACTTCCTGGTATTTGGCTGTTTTATATCAACAATACAGTAGACTAATGACCATTCTTCTTTTTAAAGGACACTGTCTTGCACGTAATGGCTTATTCAGAACTTGTCCTCACAGAAAACACAGCTTTTCTATTTACTTTCCTCTCTTGTCTTTTCCTCTTGTTAAACTCCCTAAAAAAATTGTATGTGTTGCTTAGATGTACTGTGTGTTCCATGCATACAATGTTAAGAGTTCTCAATTGCCATGGTATGAACTGTAGCACCTTGTAAAAGCAAAACTGAACAAGATTGTATCTCATCTATTATGTGATGGAGGTCAATCAGTTGAAATGTTATTGCTAACATAAATAATCATCAAGAGAATGATGGACATTTGGCTGAGGTAAGTACTTACATTCAGAATATTGCTGCAGCTGAGCAAATTCTGCTGGACTAAGCATGATCCACACCCCATCACTCATCTTTTACGTTGAGTTGTGAGGAGGCTGTGTCACCTCTAATCAAATTCCATGGAAAAGATGCACATCTACATGTAGGAATTCTTCTGGGTCATCACTCCAGTTTAGATCTGCAGGTGGTTACACTTTCTGTACTACTATTGTTAAGAATAGATGTCTATTACAGAACTCAAATCACATTCATCAGGAATACTCATGTGCCCAGTTCCTTTACAGCTACTTTACTTAGGACTGCCATCAGAAAAGTACTTCATGAAAAATTCCAGTGTATCCAAACCTAGAATTAAAAGGAAAGTGAGTTATACAATTATATGCACTTTTTCAAGATGCTTCTGAAGTTTTACAAGAAAATGAAGATAGAACATACTCAATATTTTAATTAGACATTTTACAAATGTAAAAGCACTACAATGAAAGAGGCTAATTCCAACGTGATACATGGCTAGAAGCACAGAATCAGGTACAAATTCTTGCTTATTGATGATGTCCTCTGGTCTGCCTTTAGGTGGTTATCATATCTTACCTCCTAGTTTGTGAAGAAAAAGATGAGAAGACTGGAAAAAATAGATAGGCAACCCTAAGAAGCATAACAAAAAGATGGGACAGTTCTATGATAAATAAAAAAGTTCAGTCAGATTAGATATTGTGGATGATATAAAAGTATCTTAAAGAAATGGGAGAGACTGTCTGAACCATGAACTCAGTTGAACTATTCAAGGACTTCAATGCAGGCACTGAATCAAAAATAGAGATTACAGTTTACAAAATGCATTTACAATACTGAAATAAACACAGTTCTGTACAGGGAGGCATCCCATTTCTGCAAAACATGAATGTTCATTAATCTGAGGAATACTATTTGGCATTATGTCTTACAAGTCATGTAGCACCTTGTAGAAAGGACTGCTATGTACATGAATATGTTGTTAAATATTTAAATCACAATTCTCTCTTGCCTTAAACCTTTCTGTACCTTCCTAGAATTTTCTGTCTCAGTCTAATTTTTACATAACTTCAGTAAATCAGAGAATCAGAGAAAATATGATTGTAGTATATAGCATACAGTAGTATTTCCAAATGAATGTTTGTTATGACTAAGCACAGTTATTGCTAATTTTCTTTACATGATGTCCCCCATATCTACATCATCCAATGCTCACTTTAGGGGTGTTGGAAGTTATACATAGAAAAAGGGGGGGAAACCACAATTTTGTTATTCCAAAAATAATTTTCCAGCATTTTTTCTTTCCTCCTGTTTAGAAACCAAATATTACTTCTGTCCAGAACTGGAGCAAATTACTCCCACAGCAAAACTACTCCTGAGCAACAAGGAATAGTTGCTTTATTTTTTATTAAATGCAGAAAATTATTACTCATTTATATGGACTTCTCCAAATTGAAACTGTCCAGATATACTATTAAATGAGTTTCATAGTGTCCCAGAAGACTGACCATGGCTCTACTTACTTGAATTATGGGAATTATAATCCAATCTCTGGAGGATACTGAACTGAGAAAAGTCTATTCTGTCTTTCTCCCTCCCTCTAAACAGTAAAAGTAAAGGCATATTATTAATTAAACACTCTGCCTTTGCCAAATATAGCTGAATATAGCTTGACTCAGTTATGCCTGTTGCATGAGCAGATCAATCAATATAAAAACATGGCTAGTGTGATATTTGGAGGCAAGCAGGACATGATTTCTCCAGAGAAAAAAGTTACTCAGAAGATTTTTGAGAACTTCTTAAATATAGATAATGCAGTAAATTGAAAGAGGATAATGTGAACTCTATGTAAGATGGTTTAGTGGTGTGTTTTGTTTTTATTTGTTTTTTGTTCTTGGACTACTCTAGCTAAAGTGGACAATTACAGCAAACAGAATTACCTTCTCCCTGCCTGCTTTGTATTTAATAATGCTAATGCTCACCATTTGACTCATAGAGACAGCTGAGACAGCTGTTCCTGCAGGTAATTAAATCACACCCTCAGTTAGCAGCAATCTCCAATGACCCAGTCAACCAAGAAGCAGAAATTTTTAATGTCCCTTGAGCTGCTCCAAAAAAGGTTGTGAGGCTGCCACTTCCTTTAGTTATTCATCTACATTTCATTTTCACCTGAGTAAAGAACTAAAAACCCTTCATAATGATGTTGACAACAATATCACTATGACAGAATTGGGTGGGACCCTACCTAATGCCAGCCCCTTTACACCCTGGGTACCTATACAGGAAAACAAAAATTAAAGAGGACACACAGAGATGATGTTCATAGAAGTTCTGTTAATTTTGCTTCATTTTAGAGTCAAGAAGAAATAGTTAAATCTTTTTCTGGTAAACAATTTAGGTTGAAAATTACATTTAATTGAGTGGATCATGCACACACAACATTTAGATTCTCTTGATCGAAGATAGTATCAGCAAAGTCATTAAATTCTATTTGGAAGTATAGAAGAGGAAGTCATTCATATAAAACCCTCGGGGTGATGTAGGGTCTTTGGGCCTTCTGACAATTTTGAAATTAAAGTCATTTCAACTGATCCAAACCACTCTCTACTCAACAAATGCAATACATTATTACAAAATAAACTATGGAGTTGAAGGCATGTGTGAGTATCCCTCCATTTAATGTCAGGTGTATTCATTTTTATTAAAAAGCAATTTGCATAGATCCAAGCAAGGTAAAAGAAGCTTCATGCAGAGAAGGAATTTCCATTAACTTGAATTGTAAGGGTTATGTCTCATCTGCAGAACATGAAGTTAAACAGCAAACCAGACTATCAGCCTGCAGAGCTAGCAGGCAATCAGGAAGCTCCAAGAGACAATAAACCTGAGCAGGTGAAACCCAGTTCAGATAATGAGGCACCATGCTGGCAGGGCACCTAAATTGGAATTCACTAGCAATTACAAAGGGGTGAATAGAGGCAATTAGCATATTCCCTAGGCAGGAGAGGGCTGCAAAATCCTTGATCAAACCACAACAGCAGCTGGGTCTATATAAAAGCAGCCTCCAGGCTCTTGGTCTCCAGCTGCAGACTCTTTGTTTTCCATTCACAACCTAGGTTTGATATTCAGACTGGCTTCTAGAATTTCTGGTCTTCAAACTCTACACCAGAGGTGTCAAACCTGTGTCATCATGAAGGTGTCAGATGATGTATCAGACTTCCCCGCCCCCCTTTGCTAAACTGGGCGTGGGCAGTACATGACACATCTGGCCCGCGGGCCAAGAGTTTGACAGCCCTGCTCTACACAGTTACACACAACTTTTCTGTCTATCCTTTTTGCTTACTAGCAGATTATGACTCAATCTTTCTAATACTTTTGAACCTTCTATGTCTTAAGTGCTTCTCTAATTATTAACCTGATTCCTGACTGTTAAGACATGCCAATAAAGCATTGCAAATGTGCATTAGTCTGGCTTTTTGATTTGTACTGACTAACACATGACAGTAACCGGGCATAAATGCTGCATGGACTGAGAACATTTACTGTTTTTCCAACTTAAACAAAATTGTTTAAAAGCTCTTAGTGAATCTGTCCTCTTCTCCATTCAATTACCTTCTCGCTCTCTGATATTTAGGAGACCAGGATAAACCACTATTCTGTAAGAGACAAATTAATTTTAGATGGCTAGTCATTATTATGATGAGCTGCAAGATTTAATTAGAAGGCAGCATTAGCAGAACTACATTAAAAACTAATGATCTTTGTCCTACTCAGTTATGAACTCTTATTTCTAATAGCTGCCCTCCTACCATTATTCTTCAGCAACTGGATCTCTGGATTTCTGAGTAAAAGGAATTATGCTCCCTGTGATTATACCTTTGCATTTTTTGCATTATGCACTAGACTAGAGTAAAGATGTTTTTATTGCCTACTTGGATAAAGCTTCTAAAGGCAGAGGAGGATGAATAATTCTGTTATGCAGCAATACATACTAGAAAATGCATTGCCACAAAGAACAGACAATAAATTATCGGTGATGGTTTTAAATTGCAAAATAGTATGTAAAGAACTGGTGGATTCCCAAAGTGCCAGTGTACTGCTCCAAACCCCAACCTAAATCCCAGGACTGTAATATGGAAAAAGAGTACTTATATTTTTTCTAAAGCTAACAGCAATTGCAAGAGAGGTTCAAATGTTTCTTTAACTGCCTCCTGCCACCACTTTAGCCTAATTCAAATACTCTTATCACAATCTAAAATTTCATCTATACAAATTGTTTTTGAAAATGGATATTATAAGCAGGTATCTCAAGAGTTCAGGACTATTGTGGACAATTTTCTGGAAAAAAGATATGAGATTTTACTCTTTCAGTAAGTGTGACTCTTCTTTCAGCAAATTTGATTCAATATTATAGACTTAAGAAAATATGTTAATTTTTGAATTGGTAGAATGAGGTTCTTTCAGAAAAATCTAAAGACCTTTTTAGAGACATTTTCATTCACAATTTTTAAAATAACATTCTAATCTGAATGTACCCACCAGCACCTCTGAACAATTCCCAGTTTTATAAGAACCTAAAAACAGCAATGCATAGACTCCCTTTTAAGATATTGTATGGAATTTGACAGGCACAGTGGGATGTATAATACTGAATATAATCTACTATAATGATCCTAACACCATTCTCTACATGTTTAGTACATATATGGAGATAATCATTTGTACAGATTTTGTTTTATAACCAAGTCCTGAATTATAGCAAAAGTGTGGATATAATTGAGTTAGTTGCATCCTCTCATCCACACTCATTAGACAAAGAATCAGTTCCTGCTTTCAAAGCTGTGACTGATGGCCAGGGCTTCAACATTCCTGACCAGATCCTTGAGCATATCCTATTTGAGGAAAAAGCCTCATCATGTCAGACTTGTTCTCAGTGTCTGCTCATTGGTTTAGAGGACATGTTTGGTGGAAAACAAAGAAAACAATACAAAGGTGTTACATTTCAGGCCTGAAGATTGTACATATAAAGATTTTCAGTACTTTGTCCATTAGGTTGGACATTGGAAAAGAGTAGCAAGGACCTGGACACTAGCTTGACATTGTCTTAGTGGGATGAATAGTTTGAATTGTTCCCCAATATATCTGAAGGTCACCAAATTGCAGAAGGCTGTTAGAAGGCATCCTCAAGACCATTGAAGCAAGTTTCTAGGACCTTGTGCTCTGTCCATGGTCCTACAAAGTTGAATTCTGGACCTGTACAGATTGTTTGATACCACAATGAATTGTTTTTCTCATTGATTCTAATATTTGCTATTGTTATATAGTACTGGTATGAT